ACTGGGTCCTTTGGGAAACTGAGTTTAACATGCCCAAAGGCGTCCATTCCCCAAAAGCAGAGGCCTCTGAACATGGTTTTCGTCCATCCACAGTAGCGCTGCGCAGGGTCCTTCTCAAAACACAACTACTTGGAGTCTCCATGGCCCTCAACAAAAATAGGGTCATTACCCAAAATTAAGGGGCCATGAACCCCTTCTTTAAGGGTCATGGAGACTCTAGGTGTGAGGAAGCCCATTTTTCCCCCAGAGGAGGCCACCTTTTTCTGGGTATGGTGCAGGCCGACCCCAGCTCATCGCGTACCCCCAGGGCGCCAAGGCCGGGCCCAGCGTCTTCCCCCGGACTCGCTGGAACAAGGCCCACACCGCGGAGCTCTGCGACCACAAGGCCTCCGCGCGGGGCTCCGCGCGAGCCGCGAGCGCGTGGCTTCCACTTGCCGAAGTGAAGATTTTGCGAAAACTGTCCCCTGGGTGGTTTGTTCTTCTTTCGAAGGAATCGATTTCACTAAAGGAAATACCAGGACCAACCAAGGGCACTTTTTTTGAAGACTATCCACATTTTTCCGTTCATTTCTGTGAAACCCATACATTTGAGCAAAACATGTATTTATCTTGCGGGCTACAACGAAAGACACGGCAGCATTCAACTACTTTTTTCTGCAAGAATCTCACGTTCAGCTCCGGCCCTGGCACTGGAGATTGTCATGCTCATGGGCCGAAAACCCCAATTGAATGTGAGGACAAAAGGTGCGCATTTCCCCAAGCAAATGTTCCGCTGATTTCCGTACTTTCTCGGCATATTTTCGAACTTTTTCCGCAGATTTCCGTACTTTTCCGCCGATTTCCGTACATTTCCTGCCGATTTCCGTGCATTTCCGGTTTCTGCATTTTTGCTGAGAAAACTGCAAACTTGCAAAAGCGGCAAGGAAGCTGTCACGCGTTGCCCCACAGCAAATGGAGACGAATGACCTGAAGCGAAATTAAGCATGACGGGCAATACAATTTGCAAACTGTGCTTAAGTGCATCCAGAAACTCCACAAACGCTCACAGCCTGCTAAAGGCGATTTCCGTCAAATTTTCGAAAAAGTGTTCATGCACGTTTTTTTTTTTTTTTTTTTTTTTTTCCGGACATGTACGGAAATTTCAGTACACTCGGAGGGTGCCGGTATGTTTTTGCTTCCATGCGATGGAAACACAAAAGGAAGATAAGTGTCCATCGGGTTGGTTTGAGTAGATATAGATGGTGTAGATGGGTTTGATGCCCCAGTTGCCAGGAGAAACCATCTATTTTTCCGAAGATCTCCTTGGTGCACTTGCCTTTTTCGGGAGGGAGGGCGGGGAATTTGCGCCCGCTTGCCACCAAGGCGAATCAATTGTTTTGGCTTTTATTTCACCCAAACTGGGTAGTCCGGGACGTCCGTCTGCAGATGAGCCTGGGGCAGGAGTAGCCCCAAAATTGTTTCCCCTGCTTGATCCAGTTTACTTACTTCCATTTGCTGAAACGAATATTTGTTGGCTTCCCCTGTTGGCTTGGAAGGGAATCTATTTCACTACCATGGACATTCATTTTTCCCAGGGGAGTTAAGCAACTGCAGGGAGGGTTCAAGTCCCAAAAGGCGATCGCCGTGAACATGTCGCTTGCCCTTGGGCCAAGCGGTCAGGGGAGTACGAGGTTCAACTCCAAGCGCGGGAGTCAATTCGAACCCCAAAAGGAAGCCCCAGGACCCAAGGGGCCTTGGGGAGTTGCTTGGAGTTAACCCAAGCAACAGCTAACCCCACCACTCAAAAGGCGACCAACACCAAAGTGTCTCACAAAATCAGGGGTCCAAGACGATTTCAGAGGTAGACTAAATGTGAACCCCAATCCGAACATACTATTGTTGGTTACCCTTTGGTCAAGAGAAGCGGCAAGGTAACCCAAGCACTCAAAGGCCACCAAGCCCAATTAGTCAGGGATTGCCTCCTGCATGAGTGTTCCAGCTGGTCTTCGGTCGGAAGCCGTTTTTTTTCGGGGTATTCCCCTTTGACAGTGCTCCAGCAGTTGTTGCTTTGTTTGGTCTTTTGGGAAAAATGAACAGAATTCATGGAGTCCCCCTTTGAAGTGCTGCAACTGTTGATGTCCCCATGTTCCTATATACTCTTTGTTGTCGTCAATGTGTCTTTCTCTACTCACAGTATTGTTTTGTTTTGTGTTTTGATTGAAGATTGTTTCTCTATTCACGGTATTGTTCCCCCCCCCCCGTTTTTGCTTGTTTCTATTTTTACATTGTTTATGGGTGAGGGTGCTGTTTGTTTTTGATTTTTACAAAACATATTCTTGTTGGTTTGTTCTTTCCACCGTTTTTGCTTGTTGCTATGTACATTTTTTTCATGGCTGCGGCTTCCGGCCAACCTGCGGACCATGGACTCCAGGAGTTCGTGGAGTGCTACTCCACGATGGGCAGCTCCTGCGCCGCCGGCTGCGGCTTCGTGGAGGCCATCGACAGCCAGCCCCAGATCTTGGTGGCCAACTCCTTCAAGACGCGGGCGGCGAAGAAGAACCCGGCCTTCATCTTGCAGCTCGACTTGCACTGGAATGTACCATGTTATTGTTGGTGCTTTTAATTGTGCTCACCATGTAGAAAAGGTTTTAGTTGTGTTAGGCGTGTTTTTAGGTGCTTTTAGTTGTGTTTAGCGTGTTTTTAGTTGCTTTTAGCTGTGTTTAGCGTGTTTTTAAGTGGTTTAGGTGTGTTTAGCATGTTTTTAGGTGCTTTTAAATTTTGGCTGTGTTTACCATGTGTTTTGTGGGTTACAAGTTGTTTTTACAGTAGTTGCTTTTGCTGCTCATGTTGAGAGTGGGGGGGGGGCTGCAAGAAACAAAGAAAGTTTTTGGCGGTGGGTGCTGTTCATTTTCAGGGGGCTGCAACAAAGAATGTTGTTTGTCAACAAGCAAAAACAAAACAACCCTAGACACATGGCAACAACAGTGAAGTTGAATCTTTTTTGAGAGTCTGAATCTTGGCCACGTCTCTGAGCGCTGCGTGCGCGAGCTTTAGGGAGTTTGGTGGAGCCGATGCTTGTGAGTCTTGATTCTGCCTCGCTGCCTGACGTATGTGTTGCCCTGTCTCCAGCAGAGCTTCCTGCTCATTGCTTGACATGTGGGTAGGCTACCGGGCACATGGCTTGCCCATTGCCCTTTGGCAACCTCAGTCTCGCGTGATGAGACACATTTACAGACTTTCAGCTCACAGCTGGAAAGTGCTGATTTACTAGCCAGGCCTGAGAGACAGTTTCACCAGTTGCCACTGGGCTCGTCGCAGCCATTGTCTTCACTGCGGCATGGGTGGCGACTTCTGCTGAGCATGCAAGTTGCGTTGATGTGCCTGGTTGAATCAGCTTGTCATGAGCAGGTCCACAGTTGGTAGACCGACGCAAGGATTTGGTGATGTTCAATGGTCCACAAAGCAGTGACGCCATCCCATACTATTGGGGCAAGCATTTGTTTTAAGGGCCTATCTTGGCCGATGGGAACCCGGATCTAAGCAGATTTCCATTTTTTTTTTTAGGGACTCCCTGAGTTTAGCGGGGGATTCATCACTTGGCGGGGAACACCCCGCGTAGGATCTTGGCGATGTTTACCAAAGATGGGTAAGTTTTGTATGTTCGGTTCAGATTGGAGGCTTGCCAACCTCGATCGGGGAAACTTGGGGTGCGCCACCAGGAAAAAAGCGCCTAATGTCGTGAGCTGTTGAGTGGTGTCCAAACTATACAGAACAGGGGACCCTGGCAAAGCGCGCTTTTTGCGCGCTTTGAGGCTTGCAGTTGCGCTTGATCTACCACATACTGGAATTATCTTGAGAAATAAAAAAACAAAACCAACAACAACTCGAGGGGAACCAAAACAACACAAAAAAAGCCTCGAGAAAACAATACAAGCAAATAAAACCACCATGATTTAGAAACTCTTTGGCGAAAAAGAGGTCTTGAAACATGTTTTGGGTTTTCTCGATTTTGTTGGTGTTTCGTGAGGTTGGTTTTGTTTTGTTTTGGTTTTCCTTGTGTTTTTGTAGGTGTTCCTCTTTTGCTTCGGTTTTCTGTGTCTATGATGGGTCTACTTCTGTTCTTGAGTTTGTTTGTGTGTTGCCTAGGCAAATTGGAAGACATTACCAGCTTGTCTTTCCTTACTAGATTCTATTTAACTTCCAATTTCACAACGATAATTCTAGCTAATTCCTCTTAAACATCCAATTAAATGTAAGAAGTCTATTCACACAATATAACCAGAAGAAACAACCAGCTTGTCCATCCTTACCACTTACCAGATTCCATTTAAGCTACAAACAAATTACTGTATAATCCAAGTCCTAGATACATTCATATTTGAAATATGATTTGAACATCGTGTGGTTGGATTACTCGGGGGTGACCGCGGCCTGCCTTACCTACTAGAGTCTGGTTCAATATTACGTTTAAAGCTATGATTAGGTTGTGGAAAGGAGTTCCGATTTAGACTCAGACTGGATTTCCGTTGATTAAACTGTCATGGCACACCTATGTCCAAGCATAAATTCCGACTGAACATCTGAACTAAGATAAGAGTCGATAAGAGTTCTAATTAATCTCTAATTGAAATCCCTCTTGTAAGAAAATACTATTTAACAGCTAAGTCAACATGACAATTTGAAGGGAATTCTAATGGAAGTCCGGTTTAAACTTAAAGCCTTGCAATCTAAAACTTCCAAACCACTTGGAATATAATTTGCATTTTTATAGCCTTGCAGAGGACCCTGTTGAGTGTTCTAGAAACCGCAGCTACAAACCGTCTTCTGCAAAGCAATGATACAACTTGCTCAAGGTATCAAACCTCAACCTCAAGACCACCAACAAGTGCACTGCCACAGTCCCCCAGTCTCAAAATATAGTGGCTATATTTCGCGAAATAGAGCCACAATACCTCCCAGTCAATTGGTTACTTTGAGGGAAACGACAGTGTACACCTGCAGGGTCCCCATGTCAGCTCAGGAGAGTCAGGGAAACTTGGGGAACCGCGGATTCAGCAGAACCCTTGGTTTTTAGTGGTGATGCTGCACTTTGGGTGACCCTTTATTCACTTCATTTGGAGGCTTGTTCATTGGGCTGCTACTCAGGGGGATGTCAATCGGTAGATCTCATGTTCCGCTTCAAAGCAGTTTTCATCCCCAGCTTTCGGGGAAGGAACGACTATGGATGCTTGGTGATTTGCCTTAAGTGGAGGGGGGATTCTGAACCGCTATGTCCATTGATTGTTCCATTGGTCATTTTGTGAGGGAGGAACCGGCCTTCATGTTGAATCTTGGCGATCGCTACAGCTGATGCCCCAAGTGTCGCACATACTTGACCACAAAACCAATGGCAACCCACAGTAAATCAGGGGTTCGTTGTTCTTTTACTTGCGGTATTTAGGGCATTCCTCTTGGGCTTCATGCTATTTTGCTCGGGGACTATTTGGATTCTGCACCTAGTCCAAGCCATTCAGAGGGAAGCTTTAGGAACGTGGGGGACAACTTCTACTGGGGTGGCATTGAGAAGACCTGCGGCACTCCGATGGATGAGCTGTCTTACACCGCCCATCACCAGTTCGACCAGATCTATGAAGGCTCGCAAAGGTTGGAAGGTTGGAGCTCGGCAAGATCCAACTCGATCCGAAGGAGTGAAGTCAATTGGTGAAGCAGTTTGGTGGTTTTCACCCATAGTCAAGGGCCGCTTTCCCCCCTCCCCCGTTTTTAGTGCCCTTTCTCGAGTTCGGGTTAGTCCTGGGGCGGCCCCAAGGGGGCCCCCCTAGTGGGATACTGCGATACGGCGACTGAGACGTGATCGAATCCCGGAAGGCATCTACAATGGCCCAGGCCTCGATGGCAAGGTCTGGCTTAGCGTGCTTGGAAACCACGACTGGGGAGGCGGGCGTCGTTGGCGTTCAGAATGGGTTCTAGATGGATTTGGTGCTGGTCACCGCTGCCAATCCAATGCACCCAATGTTATATTGATGTTCCAGTTTCACTTGCTGCACGAACAACATAGCTGGTTTTATGTCGAAGCTGATCATATATATATATATATATATTGTCATTTATGTATGTTTGACGAAAGCTGATATATATATATATATATATATATATATATATATGGATATTTATACACATATGCAGGTATATAGATGCATATGAATATACATAATTATGTACATATATCAGCTTTGGCCCAAACAGAGGCCGTGTCTTCAACAACGGCTGGGACCAGCAGATCGCCTACACCTGGAAGAGCAACCGCTGGCGCCTGCCTGCGGCCTACTGGAGCCAGAAGGTGAACTTCGTGGATGCCGGGCGCCTTCGAACGAAAAACGGTGCGTCCAAGAATGCAAATGCCTTTGGCTTCCGAGGGACAGAATGGTCCAAACAAAAGCAAAAGCGGGAACCCTTCAAAGCAAAAGGGGTAGAAAAGTGATTTACATGGTTGTTGTTGGGAAACATTTGGGTATGGGTCAAAATTAAACCACCAGGATATGGACCACATGTTTTAGTCTTTGGTTCCATTTACCAGGGTTGCATTTTTGGTATGCATTTTTGACCCACTGCCATTTTACATTTTTGCTTATTGTGGTTTAGTGGTGGAAATCCAACAACTAAGTTTTCCCGAAAGCATGCATGGCGAAGGGTTCTTCCGCTGGGTTCACTTGAATTGTTCTCATGAGAGTCATTACAAGGTGTCATTGCAAGGAATCATCATCATGAAAGTCAATGCAAGGAGTCATTGCAAGGAGTCATTGCAAGGAGTCATTGCAAGGAGTCATTGCAAGGAGTCATTGCAAGGAGTCATTGCAAGGAGTCATGGCAAGGATTGCAACTTGCACTTGACTCCTTGCACTTGCAACTTGCACTTGACTCCTTGCACTTGCAACTTGCACTTGACTCCATGCACTTGCAACTTGCACTTGACTCCATGCACTTGGCTCCTTGGCTCCTTGCACTTGGCTCCTTGCACTTGCACTTGCACTTAACTCCGTGCACTTGCGACTTGCACTTGACTCCATGCACTTGGCTCCTTGCAACTTGCAATGGCTCTCATGACTCCTTGCAATGACTCCTTGCAATGACTCCTTGCAATGACTCCTTGCCTTTGCAATGACTCCTTGCAATGACTCCTTGCAATGACTCCTTGCAATGACTGCACTCCTTGCAAAACAAGCAAGGAGTCAAGTGCAAGTTGCAAGTGCAAGGAGTCAAGTGCAATTGACTTGCGAGGAGTTAAAATCTCTTCTTAGGGCGGCGGGGTAGTGCCGACGACACTACACGAAAATCGACCCTCTGCGGGGATCGGCGTGGTCGAGGTGCAAAAACCCATGGTTTTTTGCGATTTCTAACCTGCTCGCGCGACCCTCTGCGGGGATCGGCGTGGTCGAGGTGCAAAAACCCATGGTTTTTTGCGATTTCTAACCTGCTCGCGCGACCCTCTGCGGGGATCGGCGTGGTCGAGGTGCAAAAACCCATGGTTTTTTGCGATTTCTAACCTGCTCGCGCGACCCTCTGCGGGGATCGGCGTGGTCGAGGTGCAAAAACCCATGGTTTTTTGCGATTTCTAACGGTGCTCGCGCGACCCTCTGCGGGGATCGGCGTGGTCGAGGTGCAAAAACCATGGTTTTTTGCGATTTCTGCGGTGCTCGCGCAACCCTCTGCGGGATCGGCGTGGTCGAGGTGCAAAAACTCGAGGTTTTTTGCGAGAGTTGTCTCGTGGTTCGCGCGCCTGCTCCCGGAACCGGCGGGTCGCGGGTTCGATTCCTCCCTGGTCCGCGGGCGGGCGTCGCAAGATGCAACTTGCATTTTACAGCAACTTGCGCAGAGCAACTTGCGCAGAGCAAGTTGCACAGAGCAACTTGCGCAGACCAACTTGCACCGACCAGTTTGCGCAGAGCGCCTTGCCTAGAGCAACTTGCGCAGAGCAACTTACGCAGAGCAACTTGCACAGAGCAACTTGCACAGAGCAGCTTGCACAGAGCAACTTGCAGGGAGCGCAATTTGCACAGAGCAACTTGCAGGGAGCCACTTGCAGGGACCAACTTGCCGGAGCAACTTGCGCGGAGCAACTTGCGCAGAGCAACTTGCACAGTGCAACTTGCGTAGAGCAACTTGCGCAGACCAACTTGCACCGACCAGTTTGCGCAGAGCACCTTGCCTGGTGCTGTCTCGCGCTTGCTTCACGAAGTGTAGGGAAAAAGAACGCATCCTGCAGCGTTGGGCCGACCTCGCTTGCGATGTTCTGCTTTCGGGCCAACCGTGGTCTAGTTTTTTGTTGCTCCCCTTCCAACGTCAACCAAGAGTACTTGGACACGTGGGACCCGTTCCAAGAGGTCCATGTGTTTTTGTCGACTCGTTGTCTGGAGGGGTGCCAAAAGGTCCTCTGGTGGTTTTTTTCAACGGCTTGGAGGCGTTCACTTTCTGTCATGTTTTTGGGGTTCAAAAGGTCCTTTGGTGTTTTGTGGACTTGTTGTTTGGAGGGCTGCATGGTTGCCACGAGTTTTGTTGGAGAAAGTCCTGTTTAAGCGACTTTTGGTATGGAGGTTATGTTTACCTTTGGGGTGTGCTTCAAACTGAGTGCTACTGTGTTGGATCTAGAAACCTTTTGCTTGTTGAGCAAATGGAACTGTTTTCTCCAAACAACCTGCAAATAATGAAACTTCTTGCGCAGGGGTAATAGCCATTGAGATTTGGTTTTCTGTCAGCCCCTTTTCGGTAAGTTGGGGTCTTTCAAGAATTGGAGCGCCCAAAAGCCCTACCTTATACATCCAAAAGCCAGCCAACAAGGTTTTCCGGCCACATATCCTTCAAGATCGGGTTCAAAGCCAGGCTTGTATTCAGAAACACCCGGTGCTAGCAACACCTGTAACCAGCTTTTGCACTCGAAAACCAGGTTACTTGCCAGAACTCTCTTTTTTCCGGTCTTTCGATCTTGCGATGTACAAGCCAACTCAGCAGGTTCTACCATTCTTCACTGGCCCAAGGTCGCAGCTACCGAGGAGTGGGCGATTTTCTAGGGAGAACCCCCTGAATTTAAGGCTACCTGCGGGTCCAAAATGTGTCTACAGCGACCAGCTTAGGAAAATACACGAATCTTTCTATTAAAGCGACAGGTTGTTGAACGTGGGCCCCGCATTAGTTTCATGTTTGTTGACCCCAACGTAGACGTAGATACCCTGTGGTTTATTCCTCGAGAGCCTTTGGGTTTAACTCCTTGGGGTGAAAACAAAGTGGCTTGCTGAGCGGTCCCCATAGTCAACATCCGAGCTACGCCTGTACAAACCTAAACGTAACAGGTAGGTAATCGACATAACACCTACATGAAACCGACATAAACCTACAGGCAGCTTGCCATCTTAATACCCTTTAGTCAGCCGGACGAAACAACACCCAGCGTTTCTCAAACCCCTGGGTGCTGCTTGACTATCCGAATGATCAAAGTGGAACCAACACTTCTTGCATAGGTTCACGATGGACATCTTCATGGTGGATTCCAACGCCATGGATGCCGAAGACTTGGACGAGGACCCGGAGCACAACATCTGCGGGGCCAAGCACAACCCGCCGGGAGCCAGCTGCGCCTCTCAAGGCGAGTTTGGGGAAGATACTGTGGGTTTGATTTCTCAACAAAGCGCTACAAATCCTAAAAACGCACCCACACACACGCACATGTTCGGTCGTACTGCGGATGGACCGATTCCATATCGCACCAACGTTCAGAATCCCTGGTTTGGGATGATTCCCCTGTAACCAACAAACAATTAATAGTTTTCCGTGGATTCTTAGTTGTGGTGCAGGATTTCGTGCACTCACAGAATGTGGGTGTGTTTTTTTCTCTGTGAGGGTACCAATTTTCATAGTTTTAATGAAGCCAAAAGGAACACCATGTTTAGCCCCCTCCCTACTTTGCCACACATCCATGTGGAGGTTTCTAAAGTTATGGCGGTAGAATGGTTGGTGTCCTTCTGGTTTCCCCTAAAATATCAAGCCTTTGAGGTTGTTGTTTCTTTCCCCTTGGGAACCCGTTAGTTGTTTTTCTTCTGAACGAAAGCCACAAGGAAACACATGTTGAAGCACCCTAAGTTTGAGACAACCCTATGTGCCATGTTTGGAAAATTACCTTCCTGTACTTGGGTTTGGTCATCAAGCCTACGGGTTCTTGGATTTTTGGAGCTCCCACCAATTAACATGAACCGAGACGTTCTGGGGCCCTGGTTTGGACCATGTTCCTTTTAAAGGGACCCCCTGTCAGGTTCCGTGTTAATTGGTGGGAAGGTATATACCTTTTTTAGGTTTCCCAATTCAAGCACGGAGCCATGTTTGATGGGAGTGTGAAAATCTGGAATCGGACCCCAAAATGGGATTTCGGCTTCCATTGAAGGTTTCCTTTGAACACCACCCTCTAAACAGGAACCCTCAACAAAACACACCCATATGCACGAAGAAAGGAGCTTCTTGGAACCCCTCACACGAGGTTTCGTGAAATTGTCCTGATTGTCCATGGTTCAATGGGGGGACGAGCTCAGGGACCAGCGGCCAGGACAGTGGAGTTGTGGGCATGTCTTGTTTGATGGTAGCCGTTTGTTTTCGTTTTCAAGGGTATGTTAGGGTAAGCATGAAACATAATCTGCGTATCCCATACTTTCTGTGTACCCCATACTATTTTTTTAGACACACCTTAGTTGTTGGCATAAGGTCCAAGCCAGGTACCCTGAGTATGCAGCATGCCACAAAAGCTCAAGCACATGGTCAGCAAAGGGTATTATTTGCATAGAGAGAGAGAGAGCCATACCTGCTCAGCATGTGGTTTCTCCAGCTGGATATCTCAAAGCTCTGGTTGCTTTCACCAAAGCTGATTTTCTTTGTTGGGACTTTAGCTTCCAGTTGCTGAAATGAATATGTTTATGTGTTCCTGTTTTGGCTAAGGGAATCGATTTCACTGGAAATAGCTTCTTATTTGTTCCAGCGGGCAAGAACGCAAAAGGAAGTTAGGGCTAGTGTCTTTCTCATGCGTCAAAAGGAGCTTGGGGTTACCCCCCGCTTGGCACCAAATCAAGGCGACAACAAACTTGGCGGTTCCCAGCCATGCCCCTAGGTTTGTTTCTAGCTTTTGAGTTGGTGTGGTTGGCTTTCCGTATTTCACCCACAAGCTATGCAGGTTTAACCGGGGATCAGGTTTAGCAGGGGAGCCCACCAGCACGGGGCATCTGACAGGTGGGCCGGAGTCTCTGGACTCCTGCAAGCAGTGGTTCTGGGATTTGTGGTCCGCCAACAAGGCGGGACGAGTCGGAGTCGGAGTGGGTGTTGGAGCCAGGTTGGAGTCGGCCCTCCAGCCAAAAACGGCGGCGTTGCAGGCGCCAAAAGGGGACGAGACCCAAGAGACCTGAAAGAAATGGACGAAATCAGCCGCAGAACCTCAGTTTTTGACTGGAGGTAGACAGGAAGAACCCAGAAGCTCTGGGTAAACCATCTTTTGGGAAGTCGGGGAAGTGGTGCCCGCGGTCAAAGGCAACTCCATGCAGACCCCACTGCCCTCAAACGACTATAAAAAGAGCAGGTGACATCCCCAACACCCCCGGAACCCTCTTGTTGATCCCTCCTTTTGAGCCCTGAAATCTGACATCTGGGAAGAATGGTCACTGGTCTGGGACATGTTTGGGTACCAATCAAAACCCTGCTTGATGATGCCTCTTTTGGGGGAAGCCCCCTCCCCAAAAAAAGGATGGCTTGTATGGAGTTTGTGAGGGGGCCTCCCTCAGCAAGAAAAGGGAAGCCTAGAGCACAAGGAACCCCAGGGCTCTCAACTACCCACCCCCCCTCGCACGGTTTGGTGCCCTCGAGGCCTGGCTGGCAGATGGTTTGGCGAAGAGTGAGGCCGACTGGCAGGTGGCAGTGACTCACTTCCCCTGCGGCTTTGAATCATGGCCATAGAAGGCACCCAATGTTTTTTCATGTTTGATTGTATGTATTAACTGTTGTTTGCATGTTTGCGGTTTTGGTTAAAACACATGAAACTCTCTGTGTATGTGTGTTTGTGTGTCTGTGAGTCTGTGTGTCTGTGTGTGTCTGTGTGTGTGTGTTTGTGTGTGTGTGTCTGTGTGTCTGTCTGTGTGTCTGTCTGTGTGTCTGTCTGTGTGTCTGTCTGTCTGTCTGTGTGTCTGTCTGTGTGTCTGTGTGTCTGTGTGTCTGTGTGTCTGTGTGTCTGTGTGTCTGTGTGTCTGTGTGTCTGTGTGTCTGTGTGTCTGTGTGTGTGTCTGTGTCTCTGTGTCTGTGTGTCTGTGTGTCTGTGTGTCTGTGTGTCTGTGTGTCTGTGTGTCTGTGTGTCTGTGTGTCTGTGTGTCTGTGTGTCTGTGTGTCTGTGTGTCTGTGTGTCTGTGTGTCTGTGTCTGTGTCTGTGTGTCTGTGTGTCTGTGTGTCTGTGTGTGTGTGTCTGTGTGTCTGTGTGTCTGTGTGTCTGTGTGTCTGTGTGTGTGTGTCTGTGTGTGTGTGTGTGTGTGTGTGTGTGTGTGTGTGTGTGTGTGTGTGTGTGTGTGTGTGTGTGTGTGTGTGTGTGTGTGTGTGTGTGTGTGTGTGTGTGTGTGTGTGTGTGTGTGTGTGTGTGTGTGTGTGTGTGTGTGTGTGTGTGTGTGTGTGTGTGTGTGTGTGTGTGTGTGTGTGTGTGTGTGTGTCTGTGTGTGTGTGTGTCTGTGTGTGTGTGTGTCTGTGTGTGTGTGTGTGTGTGTCTGTGTGTGTGTGTGTCTGTGTGTGTGTGGGTGTGTGTCTGTGTGTGTATGGGTGTGTGTGTGTGTGTGCGTGCGTGGTTTTCCTTCTCTCTTTTTTTCTTTTCGGGGGGGGGGGGCTGTTCATTTTCAGTAGCGGGCTGCACAAACAACGTCACTTGAACTTGCTACCACACCAACAGTTCAACATGCTTTGCCCCTGATTGCCTGCTATGTTTGGCCCATGTGTTCATGTGCTGCCCACACCTTGGGCCAGGTGTTGCCCATGAGTGGGTCATGCGCTGCCCATGTTTCAACCAATCTTTGGCCCTGGGGTTTCTTCATCTTTCCTTTTGACCAGCACTTATTGCATCGTTTTGCCTTTGGGGCTTTTCGATTTTTACCTGTTCAGCGGCAACCAGATGCAGAGTCGTTTCTTCCTTTGCTTGGCCATCCAAGGAGGCTGGGTTCTGGAGTCAGATGCACAACCAGCACGGACTTGATCTGCTGGCGGCCAGGATCAAATCTGGAGGTGTCTCAAAATAGGGGTCCTCTAATTTTGCTGACTTGCTGGTGCTCAGCAGGAAATGACCCAGGGTGTTGGGAATGAACCTGGGGATTCCCTTGAAGGAAACCATAGCGGATGGTTTTAGGGGTCAATGCCTCATACCCTGCCGACGAACAGCAAGTAAAGTGGTTGGTTTCGTGTTGGTTTCCTTACCAACTAAAAGGTTACCATTCTGAACTGTGGGTGGGCAACATCCTGCACCAGGTAAACTGATGAAGCCCTACTGGAACAACGTGGGACAACCCCCTACCAGTGCAGGATGTTGTCCATACACAGTAGGGCGGGCCCTACAATTGCCAAGGTTGTGTGATCTTTCAGGGTAGACAAAGTAAACTAAATATGTCAGCGGGATCGAAAAGTTATATGATTGGTATACCTCAGATCAGGTAACCCCTAACTGGTGGTTTGGACTGGTGGTTTGTGTATTTAAACTTCTGGCTTTTGTAGAAGATAAATGGCAAGCAACCCAACCTCCACACCTCCAAACCACCCTGTTTGAGGGACGCTGATCAGAGTTGGGCAGAGCGCGTTTGATTTCAGCAAGTGGGCGTGTCTTAGAATTGAGGGGCAGTCAGAAGAAATGGCAGTTGTCCTTTTGGTGTTCCGAATAGAACCAACCGGTTTTTTGGGGGGGAAACTACAAGAAATTGTGTTCTAATAACACTTGGGTTTTATAATGCTAATATAGCATCCCAACCCACCCCCGTGGTTTTTATATGCACCCAATTCGCGTTTTCCTTTTGGTTTCCACGCGTTGGTTTCCCAAAAGACCCAAGTGGTACCCAGGTAACCGGACATCGCCATGACCAAGAGCTATGGAGCCCCAGCAGGATGGGAGGATCCTGGACCTGCAAATAGCATCCCTTTTGGTCGTTGTTTTTTGTTTTCTTAGTTTGGTTAGACATAGATGGTTTTTAATGTTTAGTTTGTTTTGTGTTTTTGTTTTAATGTTTAGTTTAGGTTAGGTTTGGCTCCTGTTTAGTTTTTTTTAGTTTAGGTGTTGATGTTCTTTTTAGCCTAGTTCCACTGGTTTTAGATTGGTGTTATGCCCCATTTACCAGGGCTATCTATTTTTCCACAGGTCGCATATCATTATGATAAGATTTGCTTTGGCCGGTTTTCACCCGGAAATCCGTTAAGGGGGACGTGGCACTTTGATGTTTTTGGCTGGATCCTCAAAGTGGTTGGTTTCCATTTTCTGCATTTGTTTTACATGGAACCCAAACACGTTTACCCCTATTTTGACACATACCCATTTGCACTTTTGCAAACTTTGACCTCTTGACGTTAAGCTTTGACCTAAAACCATTTTGCGATGGGACACGTTCCATGGATTCTGCTCTAGCTTCATGTCACCTTTACTGGAACCTTTCTCGGCGGATCTGACTTTGACTTGGGGAAACCAGGGGGGCTGAATCCAGCTTTCACTTCGTCTTTTGTCACCTCTCAACCGCAAGTCGAAGCATACGAATCCAAACCACCCTTTTTGCGGGAAGCTGAGGAAGGAACCCCTTGAAAACAAGTGCTCATTTTTTTGGAAATCCACTGGGGGCTGGCCTGCGTCAAAACAAAAACTTTGGTGCATTTTGCTTGGATGTTGGAACTTTAACTTTTGGCCAACTAGTGGGTTTTCCAATAAACCACTACAAGCTAAACTTTTAGCAGGGGAGCAGAAAGCAACCAAGAAAAAACGCAGCTGCTGTTGAAGCCTTGGTTTCCTTGGCACGAGGTTTGACCTGCTTTGTCACTGGCGGCGGTGGCGGCATCTCTTCGGAGGCAACACCCAACATCCACAACAAGAAGGACTGGCAGCTCGGCTCCCAAGCCATACTCCTTTGGATACTAAAATATATATACATGTACATATACATATATATATATATATACATGTATGCATATGTGTTCTCAGCCCCCCGCTCCGCGCATGATCTACCTGTTCTGCGCCATTTGCACTAATCTGTACCATCAGTGGGCACCAACCAATTGTATGTGACAATGTATCATGTTCCATCTGCAAGCCAAACAAAGTTCGCTCTGTCCGTGTTTGTCGCATCTGCAAGCCCAACATAAATGCATCACTCAATGTCCAATAGTTGTTTTTTTGTGAGAACCAGTATGGAAAGGAAATCATCTCAAGTCACAATTGCATTAAGCAATTCAGATTAGACCCCTTCCCCATTAAATCCTGCTTGAGTCACTATACAAATAATGTCATATTTGGACAGGAATGCCTCTTTGACCTCTCATTTCCTCATTATTTCTTCTGAAATTATGTTCAAGTCTAATTAAATCTGAATCGTACAGTCCTGGTTGGCAGAAAGAGCCTTATCAGGAGCCTTGAGAAGAGCTTTATAAGGAGCTTTATTCACTTGCAGGTCATTGCGTGTCATTCCTGTCTGTGTGCTGTTGCATTTGCAAACTTTTTCTTTTAAACTAGAACTTATAATAACATGTCATCGTTATCAAATTCTACTCAAGCTCCATTAACTTTAATCGAAATCCTTCTGGAAAAGGGTTCAAATTATTTTCCTTACCAGTGTGGCCGGCGAAGCCGGTGGGCGGAAGTTTCAAACATATAAAACTATAGTTCCTTTTCTCTTTCTTTTCTTGATTATTGTTTTCTTATTATTCCTCTTCATTGTTTCTTTTTTTCTTCGTCATTATCTTTGTTATTTTGTTCCTTGCCTTCCTCCCTTATTTTTGTTGTTCTTTCCTTCTTTCTGTCTTTGTTCTTTATTTTATTTCTGTTTTTTTTCTTTTGCTTGGTGTTGCGCCGTTCTTGCTTTTCGCGTGTACGTGTGTGTAGGCAGCTGTCTATCCATCTGTCTATGTTTCTCTTTCTATACCTCTCTCTATCTATCTATCTACTTCGCTATCTATCTATATATCTAGCTAAATATCTATCTATATCTTTATATATATATATGTATCTCTCTCTTTTTCTATTTATGTATCTATCTAAGCTATCAATCTATCTATCTACCTAGCTATTTATCTATTATCTATCTAATCTATCTATCTATCTATGTATCTATGTATCTATATATCTATCTATCTATTTGTCTATCTATTTATCTACTATCCTTTTATCTATCTATGAATGTATCTATCTCTCTATCTACCTACCAACCTACCTACCTACCTACCTATTTATCCATCTACTCATCTATCTATATTTCTAATCTAATCTAATCTAATCTAATCTATTATATTCTATTCTAATCTATCTATCTATCTATCTATCTATCTATCTATCTATCTATCTATCTATCTATCTATCTATCTAATCTATCTATCTATCTATCTATCTATCTATCTATCTATCTATCTATCTATCTATCTAAGCTATATCTATCTATCTATCTATCTATCTATCTATCTATCTATCTATCTATCTATCTATCTATCTATCTATCTATCTATCTATCTATCTATCTATCTATCTATCTATCTATCTATCTATCTATCTATCTATCTATCTATCTATCTCGCTATCTATCTCTCCATCTATCTCTCTGTCTGTCTATCCAATCATTGATCGATCTATCTATCTATATATATCTCTGTTTACTTATTATTTTTTTCTGACCGCGGAAAACATATACCCCTCCTTTTTTGGCAGTTCCCAGCGAATGGTCTGGTTCAACTTGGGTTTTCGTATTTAACCCACCCAAAATATGTCACTTTGAGCAGGGGATCTGAGCACAGCCCAGATATACCTGTTTGGAGCGGAATGTTCACCCAAGAAATCATATACCTGTCCTCTATGAATACTATATATTAAAGGGTGTTCCTTTCAAAAGCGGTCTGAATCTTACAGGGGACACTTTCCTAGTAGTCAATTGCTCGCGAATCAGGGGTTTGATATGACCCTTTGTTGGGCTTTTGCAATTGGAGAAAGGAAAACGATTCTCGTTTTGGTGTGTCTCAACTTTATTCCTGAAAGGAACTGCTGTCGACCACACTTGTGTGTTGCTTCCGCTTTCTCTTTCTTCTTTTATTCGCGGGGGGAGGCCCCCAACGCGGTGAACCCGAAAAAGACTACCTCAAAATATTTCCACACGCCAAAAGCCATGGCGCCTTTGCTTTGGCCGATCGGGTCAGATCAGTCAAGGTACGGGGAGGCTCAGTACGGCTTCTACGACATCGCAGTGACCAAGCAGTCCATGGAGATCACATCCATCAACTGGAATGGCGGCTCAGTCAAAAAGGACCAACTCCCAGCATTTAACCTTTCGGTTTGGTGGTTTTGGCCACCATGTGGGTGTGGTTTTGAGCATTTCACCTTTTGGTTTCGCGGTTTTGGCTTCTTCTTTTTTTCTTTGGGTTTGGCCAGCATTCTTGGTTTTGTGGATTTGGTAACACCATCTTTTTGGGGGGTGGTCCTTCCCGTTGTTCACCTTTCATTTCCGGGTACTGCGAGCTTTTCACACTTGGTCTCTCGGGCGGATTCGGCCACCATCTTGGCGTGGTTTTGAGCTTTTAGCCTTGCGGTTTTGTGGCTTTGGCCTCTATCCTTTGGGGCAACCAGCTTTTCACCCTCTTAGTCTTGAGGTTTTGGCTACCTCCCCCATTTTGTTAGCGAGGGGTTCAAGGTGTTCATCTTTTATTTCCGGCTGTGGTTTCTCTAGGCTCTGCTAGTTGGTTTCTGGTTTTGGCAGCCAGTTGTCGTTTATTATGAAAATCCCTGAGAGCTGGTGGTCCAAGAGGGGGGGGTTCCCTTAGGAACCCTAAAGAACGCTAGGGAACTCTAAGGAACCCTACGCACAACTCTCAACTCCCACCCCCTTGTACCTTCCCCCCTTTATGAATCCATACGTCTAAGGCCCCAAAAGGTGAACCTTTCCGGGTCCTGCGAGCAAGTGAGGCTACGAGATCATGACTCGCAATGTCTACCCCAAGTGAGAGCTTTGCGCTGTTCGCACGGTACATCGCCAGACTTGGCAGTCTATTTTATGTTGTTTTCCTTCATGGTCACCTTGAGCAATCAAGACCATCACTTTTGCAGGGGCGAAGTCTGGTGAAGAGATATCCTGGCGAGTACTGTTCAATTTTGACTGGCTCGGGCCAATGCGTTCCGAGCTCAGCGACCGTTCTTCGTCACAAAAGCAAAAAAGAAACCAAAAAAGAAACGGCTTGTTGACTTGTTGCGTAGGTTGCCGGGCCGGGTTGCCTGTCTGCATTTTGGGGTATGGGGTTGTCTCAACATAGGAATCGGACACTGGAACTTGGTGGTTTGCCTTTGGTCTTCTGTTAGAAACCGCCCAAGGGGTACCCTTGAAAAAGGCACCCATATTGTGGATGGACAAAATCCTGCACCACTTTAAAACCATGGAACACCATTGTTTGTTGGTATTTACAGGTGAATCATCATTCCAGGGTTTCTTGGTGGTGCAGGATTTCGTCCCTCCACAGTATGGCTGTATTTGTTGAATGATCGTGATACTATTGGAAACGTTGTAGCCGATGGGCCCATCCTTCGCTTCGCGTGTCAGGTATACTGTATACTGTTGTTTGTCTTCTCGGAGTGTGCAGTTGTGCAAGACAGTGCTTCCTTTTCAGTCCTTACTTGCAACACGGCCTATTCAGCTTTGCATGGAGGCATGTGTTGATTTGTTTATGCGCAGCACATACGAGGCCCCTTGTCTTCATTGAATTCAGTAGGGGGCTTGTTTGTGCTTACTTGTAGCGCATAGTAATTCGTGGTTGCGGGCTTCATCATTGTTGCACATTGTTCCTGACTATCTGAGGTCTATGCTGGTGTGTATGTTTGTTCAATCATCCCTGGCATTTTTTGGAGTGCGGTCGATCCCCCAAATACGTATTGCAAGCAAGGGAACAAAACAGTCCCTCCCATTTAACATAGTTTACCATGGCTTTGTACTTCAATCAAGAGTGTACCAGTTTCTCGTCGTTTATTTTTGTTTTTAATCATGAATATCCACCTGGGGATTCGAATTGTTGGTTTCTTTCCTCCGAAGAGTTGCTGGCGCAAAACGCTTGCCAGTATTTGGTTTGAGACTTATGGGCACCCCAAAAAGAGGTGCCCTCAATAGAAACAGCCCTTCTTGTAATCTTACGATCTGTAGCTCCAACCCTGAATGATGAAGGGGTTCGAGCGGCAACAACAGACAACCATGTGTAGTATTGTCAAACTTGTTTGTCAGAACCCATTTGTCAGACTCCATTCAGGATCAGCCAACTAGCTATACACATATCCTCGCAAGTGATGGACGTAAACATCTTATGTAAGAATGTCCAAAGGGTCCTGTTCAAAAACTCACAGAGACCTGTTCAACGCCTAATTTCCTCGACGCGGACCCCGTGCAAAGCGCGTTTGCGAAAACTTCGCGGAGAAAGCCGTGCGACGAGCCGAAGCTCAGGGAAACTCGCTGGTTCTCGGTAGGGAATGAAGAAATAGCCCTTATAAACCATCCCCTATGGTTTCCTTTAAGGAAAACCCGAGGTTGATTTCCAACACCCTGTAGTCGTTCTCCACTGAGCACCAGCAAGAGAAGGTTGAAACTCTTCCATCACGATTGCGGGCTCGCAAAGACCTAAGAAGCCGTTGTGCCATTTGTCTCCATGGAGCACAAACGCTCATGTAATGCATGTCTGACCTCGTGAGCATCGGAATCCAGTGAGTGCAGACATGGTTGTAGAGAAAGCAGGTTACTCATAATTACGGTGGATGGTTGCAAAATCCATGTCGCAACACCCTAAGAAACCCAAGGGAATGATAGGATTCCGCTGTAAATACCAACAAACAATGGGTTTTAACCGTGCTTCCTTAGGTGGTGCGAAATGGTTTTCGTCCCAATCCACCGCAATCTGCCGCTATAGTAGCTGTCTCCGATGCTAAGGGTATCGCGGAAACCTGATTTTTAGCAGTCTGGCAAGGAAGCTTTAGCCTGTTTGACCGCTGCTCGCAATACTGCTCTATATACAAGGGGCAGCTAGGATGAAGCTGTGCCAACTGCGCAATCCAGCCATTCCCATTTCAGCCCCAGCTCCCCTTGCCTGTGGTGGCATTGCTGGGGCTTCAGCGCTTCACTGCGGTCAACTAGAAATCTATGAGCAACCAACTCCATTGGTAATGCAGGGTTGTGCCAAGGACCATTCAATGCATCCACTTTCAATCCAATTGTGCAAAGGCGCCAACACAATTTGCCTAGATTTCATCCAGTGATTCATCCTTTGTTTGCCTTTGCCAGTTTGCTGAGTTCACCCCCTCGAATCATCTCGCTCCTTTTGCACATGCCAAGCCAGAATCGTGTCTCCAGTGTCAAAGCGGCAAAGATGCAACATCATGTGGAACATGCAGGTTTGCAAATCGTTGTGTTGCCAGGGCAGGCCGTATGTTCGAATGGTATCGCCAACAGTTGGTTCATTCTCCACAAAAGGAAGCCGCATCAACCACTTTGCCATATTATGATGGTATCAAGTTTTCCGTTCGCATCTGCATGTCCGTCTCTCTTCGTCCAAGGAAAGGGGTTGTTTCCACAAAGTTGGTTCAATCATGTTCAAAGGGGGCCCAACGGCCCACGAGACTTGTGGCGTATTGCGAGCTAGGTAATGATAACAGGCTCGGCCGCGATTTTAAATGAGCGATATACCCCTTACTTGAGAATTTTCTTGGAACTGTAAGAATTTGCCCAGATTGAGATAAAGCCTATGTACCCATCGATATCCCATCGATCCCATTATGAGAGGGAGCAATGGAGTAATGTTGACCCGGATTTATGAATAGGGGATGTTCTCCTCCAACAGTGGTCTGACCCTGCCCCCCAGAAAGGGACAGCCTTCGTGGGCTGAACAACTCTACGTCTTGGTACTCAGTGCGAGAGTCTGCCCAGGTTAGTATCAGGATGCACATGTTTACGATTGTTTACGATTGTTTACGTTTCTGGTGTCTGAAATTCGGAAATAAGGCAAGCTACATATTATAGAATAATATAGTAGGTCATCTATCAAGTATATAGGGACCCCAAAGAATCTTCTTCTAGGACACCCTTTCCGGTGCTCAATTCTCCTTCAGAACTAGCCCAGAAGGGTGTGGGTCCCAGATATCCAGACTACCCAACTTGGATCTTCGGCAGTGCAATTCGCAGACCGGAACTAACTCAGTTTGGGGTATCACGTGAGGACCTGAGTTTCAGCAAGCATGCGATTGCGCCTGTTTTGCGGCCGGCGCTCCTGTAGTTTACCATTTTAGAGGCAAGCAACAACTACGTCTGTTGGGGGCAAATCCGCTCAGGAAGTCAGAAATCTGTCACCACTGGGCATGCTTTGTTGATGGATTGTTATCCCTACTGTGGATGGACGAAATCCATTTCGCAACACTTTGAAACCATGGGAAACCATTGTTTGCTGGTGTTTTCAGGGGAGTCATCATCCCAGGGTTTGTTCAGGTCGTGCAGGATTTCGTCCATCAGTAGGAGTCCCTTTTCTGTGAGCAACCCTGTAGAAGGAGGTTCTACAACCCGGTTGGTTTTCCTCACTGATAAACAAGATCCATTTCGCACCAGTTGGGATAGGTGGTTTATCCCAATATTAGTAGGGTTTCATCTATCCCACGTGGTGTAGGATTTGTCGATCCGCAGTAGGAATTTCCCTTTTGTGTGAGCAACCCAGCAGAAGGAGGTTCTACAACCTGGCTGAATCTGCAGCAAGACGTCTAGACGATATTCGATCCTGAAGTCTTCAATGCGCAAGCTAGATTTGAGAAGTGGACACCTACCAATACTCTGGCCAAGATTTGCAGCCACACAAACGCAACCTGTATCAGCTTTATCATATTTTATACAGTCACCTGCACAAGTTGGACCTTCACGAAGCTGTAGGGAGAGCCATTTTGTTACGACCTGGACGAGTTCTGAATTCGCATAAAATTCACACAGCTGACTCCGAGGCGCGACAGCAGCTGCAGCAGCTGGCCAGCCAGGGCGCGCTGCCCAAACGCCCCGTGAGGACGCGCCGCGACTTGTCGGGGGAGCCTTGTCGAGGGGGGGGGGGGTTAACGTGGACCCCACATTCATCAACCCCAGTTTACGCATCTGTCTGCCTGTCATGCCTCTATTGGCCGCAAGCCAACATAGGGACACTGCGGGTTGATGCAGGGCTTCATGCAGATGCGCTCGTTGTCATCGAGGTAGAACATGCAGATGGATTTCCCTGGAGAATCCCGACAGACAGTACAAGGCAAGCAAAGCGGCGGTACCTGTAGGCTGCAATTGGCCCACATATGCATTACGCTGATGCTGTGTACATTGACCACAATCAATCATTTGTTTGCTGGGGGTAAGTCTGCGATCTCTTTTCGCTTCTGCATGTTCTCTGGTGAACCTAATCACAACTGGAATCTCATGTTGGAAGTTGTACATGTTGAGGTTCACTACAGACAGACCAATAAATTGTGTATGTTGATAGTCAGTATGTACGGACCATACAGGAACGCGCTTCAGGTTCATTAAATACGGGCCAATACCGAACTTTGTACATGCCGAGCTTCACCAAATTTGGACCAATGCCGGAATCTTGTGTTGGGCTTGTACATGATGAGGTTCACCAATGGACCAGAGTCACAAAACAGAAAAGGTTGAGGTTGCTGCAGGTTAATGTGTCAACCCCAGTATAAACAACCCCCTACTCATTACTATGGGGGTGTCCCTGGTTTTGGTGGGAGTTCTTCACTTTTAGAGGGGAACCCCCATACTAAGCAGCGGTTTATTTGTCCGGGGTCAACTTTTCGCAGGCAGTCCACCTGTTTGGCATGGATCTTGGAACGATCGTTTCATTCCACAAGGGCTGTGCATCCGAAACCGGTCGTTCCAAGTAAATCGATACATGGGTGTGTTTTTTTGTTGAGGGAACCCCTTCTGTGTGGTTTTAAAGGAAAACTAAAAGGCAAAACACCATTTCTGGGGGTCCCTTAAAACAAACACACGCGCACACACTAATAAGTCTTAAATAGGGAAACCCCCAAAGTTTCCCCGTGGATTCCCTTTTAAAGCAACCAACAAAAAAAGACACACCCACATGCGGGACAGCTAAAAATCGTTTGAGGATCCGAATCCTTGTAAATCATGTGGATTTTGGGTGTATCATTCCTTTTCGGAACCCTGAAGTTGTAGACGGGGTATTCACGGTGCATGGAGGCAATCCATACGCCGTCTTGCTTCGCGCCTTCTCGCTGAAAGTTGCCTACATTGTATTGCATATGTGATAACCACCTGAATTAGAACCAGCTCATCGATTCGGGGCTAAACCAACCTCCCCTACGAAATTTGTGTTTTGAGGCAAGCATAGTTCCAGTTGAGCCAGGTATACAAAAAGAGTGCAGACCCAACAGAATCCCTCCCTGACAGCCTGAGGTCATGAACTTTAGTGGCTTTTGGGTTTGGACCATTTTAGTGGCAAGCAAAAAGCTTGGTTGCTTCTGGCCAGTCCACTCAGGAAGTAAGCCAACAAGAAGGAACCCAACAAGGAGGAAACCAATCATTCTAGGGGACTATTTGGAGCACCCCACCCGGGGAGGGGTCGAGATGTGATTCCTTCCTGCCGCCCTGTCCAGCCCAGGTACCCTAGAATACAATCCTTCTTCACGAGCAGTCAGCGCAATCAAGGGGTGCTGCTCTGGGATCGATCGCCACATGGGTTCGCTCTGTGCCAGGAGGGCAACATCCATGGACATGACCTACGGAGTGGTTGAGCCGCACTACAGGCGCCCGACCTGTCCCTGGCGCGGGTATTGAAAGAATATGTCTCCGTGCTGTTGGGACTAAAGCAGGCAGCCTGGGTAGCTTAGGTGACAGAGGCGATGCTTGAGCACCTGCATACAACCTGTGATTGATTCTCGTTTAGAACCGTTGGCTGTAGGCTTCCAGATTTTCAGAGGTACCTTCTCAATTGGATGCATTTTTGGGGAAAAGACTTCAGGTACTCTTCAACCAGTGGTGGCATTGGTTCGGGGATTTGAAGCTGTGACTCTTGAGAAGTGGGAAGCGGTTTCCGGAACACCGGGCTGACCAACGGTGGATGCCCCTGCCAGATTGCAAGTAAACCAAGCAGAAATCATGGTTGAGTTTCTTGGTGGCGGGGTTTATTGTTTTTGTTTTTTTTTTTGGGGGGGGGGGGGTAGAAGGTTCAAGTTCAATTAATGCCCCTGCCAGTTTGCGTTTGCGTTGGGTTTCTTTGGTATATGGCAGGGGCCCCCACCAAATCGCCGCCATAGCTGAGCCCTTTCCAGGCTGCATGCGATGCGCATGAAGGTCGCTTTCGCCCACCCGGAGGGTGGTGGGCTCGGAATCTCCAAGGGGCGCAGGCTTCTCGAGGCGAGCGTCCCAAGTTTCCGGATTTGTTGTATGAACAGTTCGCTCTTTCCAAAATGCTCATCTCCGGGATGGGGAAAATATGGGGAGTTGTTCCAACTTTACTTCAGGAAACCCTTGGATCCACAGGGCTCCAATAGGTGGAAATTCATTGGTGTGAAAATATTTTATTTCTTGATGGGATGCCCTGGGATGGAGCCATTAAAAGGCAACAGTGGACAGTGTATACGTATGTATGCCTTCTACACGCGCCCTTTCTGTGATGCTTAGGAAGCCAAAAGGAAAGCCACGTTGGGCGCCCGTTTGACTCATGCCCATTTCTTTGGTTTGCCCGGTAGCCGGGTCATCAGAAGCCAACAGCCCTTGCGCTCTTGCTTACTTGAATGCCAGCGCAGCTCTTGTGTTGCTTGATAGAATACGTTGGAGGTGGGAGGTCGAGTAGATCTCAAAACTGGCAGAAAATAACAACTGTTTGCACAGGGTCAAGGGGTCAAGGGTGCCACATAGGCAGCCTTCAATCTGATGGACCAAAATATCCACAGAACGCACCGTGTGGGATTGGTCTTTCCCAGGCATGTATCTAAGGTGGTGCAGGATCTTGCCCAGCAACAGGGCTAAATGTGAGCCAAGCGTGGCGCATTCGAGGTAGCTGCCCCTGAGCTGCCCTCTAAGAGCCAGATGTTGTACCCCTCCCAGTGTCTTCGTGGATCCTGCTGTTCAGATAGCCCCAATCTCCGGAAAGTTCGGCGGTTTGGAGAGATATCAATAGGTGAAGAACCTGAGGAATGCTTCTGTAGAAGAATTGTTGTTATTGTTATCCTTGAAGCTACAGACATCGTTTGTGTTGATATCGCGTGTCAACTAGTTGTTCCTGACTACAACCAAGGATGCGCAACCCCATTAACTCCGCTCATAAAAGCGCTACCTGGTATGATTGGCTTCCAAAGCAAGCTGCCCTAATGTGTAGCACATGATGCCCACAGTCAACAGGCACAAGCCGTGTTCCAGGTGCAAGGGAAGCAGGGTCAAGCTTTGAAGCTAGACTCAGCTTGGGCACATTGGAAGCATGATCTTCTTGTCCTGAGTTCTTGACTCAAGGCCTTTCTTCGGTGGAGGGCAGGAAACGTCCCTAACATGAGAACTGGACAGGAACAGGATTTCTATCCCCCGCTTTGGGTGGTTTGATCATGGCCTTTTGGATTGATGTTGATGTTGAAAGAGGAAACATATGAGGATATCTGGCGATCATGTTTCTGATGCGCACGCGCACAAACCAGACACCACTTCAGATTTGCGGATGACTCCTTATCGGGTCTAGCCAACTGCAAAGCCTACTAATCGCGGTGGTGTTCTGTATGCCGGACATAGAACTCATTCTGTTGAGACATTGAGTCTTAAGAATTGGTACACAACTCTACACAGTCAGGTTGACATGTTGGTCTGTCGATCACAAAGTTAAGGGTCCAAGTTGCTGTGGCTTCCAACAATGATTCATACACGCCTCACTTAGTTGCTGGCTTGGATGTGTGGCCTTATGATTTGAAGCGATCAAGGGGGAAGCTGATGGAAGTGGACAGAAGTCATTGGACCAAGGGCGTTTTCAAGAGGATGCTACAGTCCTCTTGCATGTTGGAAACCGGGTAGGCCCTGGCCCTCCAAACAAAAGCATAAAGCCTGTACAGGCTTAAAAGGTAAAAACAATCTTCCAGGAAGCCTGTGTAGGTTCTATGTTGGTTTTTTTGGGAAGGCTCTTTGACGTCGGAAGTTCGAAGTCCGCGGGTTTTCTTCTGCGACAATGTGCAACTTGAGGCTGGCGCATGGCGGCGAAGATGCCTTGGAGCTTTCAAAGCGCGTGCGGGCGCCCGGGCGAAAAAAGCTCCAAAGGTGGGTGGCGATTCATCAGCCCCAGTCTATTGATAGGGGATAGGGGGGCCGGGGGGGTTCCCCTCCCAAAAGGGACGATTCCCCACTAAACCTCAGGGACACCCCCTATTAGTAAACTGTTAATAAACTGGTTGATTCATTTGGGGGCACCATACACCTCCCTCCAAGAACCATGGAAGCTGACGATCGGAGGGTCTTGGAAGACAAAAGCTTTGCTTTTGGGGAAGCACCCGATCGTCCACTTCCTTGATTGGAGGGAGGGTAGGGCTATGTCGGTCCTTATGTAGTACCTTTAAAAAGGCGGCACCATACCGGGTCCAAAAAGGAGCCGGCCGCGATTTTTCACAAGTCCATATGTCAAAATAGGGACTCCTCTTTATCATGGGTCCACCCCCTTTGAATCAACCTGGAAAAGGTCCCCTTGAGAAAACACTGCGCACACATATGCACACATGTGGCGCCGGTTTCATCTAGGGGCTCTTTGGGTTCCCTGGTGGGCGGCTTGGAGTATTCAGGGGGTGCGTTTCGGCTAGCATCCCGTTTCTGAGGACCCGTGTCACATCACGTTGTCACCTAAAAGGTTCAAATGCGTTGCATGTTGGGCGGCACCCATGCGGATTCTCATCCCAGCACCCAGTGGTTTAGTGGGGTGGCCTGCTAAAGATTAAACTTTCAGCAGGGGATCTGAGGACAGCCAAATGTGGTTGTTTCCTTTGGCTCCCCCAAAGCCGTTCTTACTCCCTGAACTGAACTGAAGGAACCCGGACCCTTGCTTCCTGGCAGCTGTTGTTTTGAGAAATCCAAGCTCTTGAGCGAGAAAGTACCTGGAGTCCCCTTCTGACCCTTCAAAACTGGGGAGCCCAATAAGCTTCAAGGGACGCTGGGGCACGCGCCAACGTGAGGTTTCTCAGGTCCTATTTAATTTAGCCAGGGCACGGATGGCACCTATAGCACCTGGCCATGTTGGACGTAGGCTAGAGATATCAAGGGAATCCCCGAAAGCAGTGATCAACGCGTCATGGGGATGGGAATCACACGCTTTGGTAATTGTCACAATGGGTATGGTTCAGATCCGTGAATGACATGATTGAGTGGGGGCGTGGGCTCGTCGCGTTGACATTAATCACCCATTCTTGTGAAAAACGACAAACACATCAAGACAGTTGGTCATTTTGCCGGGTCGAAGACGAACCCAGTTTCTGGGTTTCCCTCTTTACTCAGCGTAATCGACCCACAACAGAAATGGCTAGCCCTGTTCTGGAACTGGTTGCAACGGGGGTCAGAATTTGTACATTATAGTATTCCGTGGCTGGCAATCAGGTCAGGTACACTTGACCGTATCGCACGACAGCGCTTGTAGATATTTAAAGTACGTTTCTTAGTTTGTATCAACATAGGGAACCTGTGAAATGATAGGTTTTGCTTTGGCTTTCCTTCTGCATACCAATCCATCCGAGTTGCCAGCTGAAGTGGGTTTGGCCTGGTGACTGCTCGCTTTCCCTTCAACCAAAACAGGGGAAGTATACTCTGAAACGCACGCATACTTTATAATGATGAATGTATCATCTAGATAGATCACGAATTACCATACACAGGTCCGCTTAAGAGACCCTAATTGGGTTCCAACAAATGGGTTTAAAGCCAGCTAGGCTCACCCAACAGGTCATGGGCCTTGGTCAGTTTGTGGAAGATTGTGTATGTTTGTTATTGAGTTCTTCTGACACCCAGTAAGCTTGCCAATTGTACCCATGGAATGACAGCCAGGAACAAGGAAGAAGTCGTGGCCGATGTGTTCAAGGCGAGTCCCCCCGTGCGACTGTGTCAGCGGAACCAAACTCGGACCCAAGTCGGACACGATGATGGAGGAAATCCTGCACCACGCAAGGATTTTTTGGAATGATGATTCCGCTGTAAATACCAACAAACTGGGGTTTCCCATGGTTTCAAAGTGGTGCAGGATGTCGTTCATCCATACTAGGGTCCGGCTTTATTCCGAGTTGGTCGACGCGCCGGTGCAACATTTGGTGAGTTGCCACTTTCTGTGAGCCAGGGGAATCCCTTTTGCCTCGGAAACCTTGTTAGAATTTTGTCTTCATGATCCTTCCTCGATTCCTTTCAGGTTTTGGTATCACGCTTCGATGACACTGGGCCACTGGAGGGGCGGGCACGCCCTCCTGATGTGTCAGGCGATGGAAGAGTTGATCGCCTGCGACAAGTGGTATCACGGCAAGGTGCGGTACCTGGAGGCTCGCAGACTCGCACGTCGAGATTCCCACGTGTGTGTGGTCAAAATGTGCAGTCTATGGTTCTGTTGGGAAGGACACGGAGCGCTACATTTCCCACCAACTCCAGGCTGAATTTCCTTGGTCGAGCGGGGAATCGCGGTAGTTTTATTGGCCGGTCCCGTGAGTCGTGGGTACATCTTGGGAGGTGCTCAGAATTGGGTGTGTCTTTTTCTGAGGGTACCTGTTGTTGTGGTTTTGAAGGAAGGCCAAAGGACACCCACTTTTTTGGGGGGATTCCTTGACAAAGTCACGGCCAATTACTTTTTGATGATGGTTGCCCTCTACATTGCAATCTAGAGGATCATTTGAGGATGTCGCTGAAATAGGGGCCCCAGCCGGATGTTGAAAGCGTTGGCTTAGAATTCGGTTTGAGCATATGTTTTTTTAGGTTGGAAGGGACGTCACGTTCAAAGTTCAAACGAGCCACTTGAAGGACGTCGAGCTTTGACCCAAAGCCATCACAGAAGAGGCTGTCAGGCTCGCAGTCGGCAGCCAGTGAACGAACAGGCATATCAAAAAGGCCTTTAAAACATGGCAAGCGTAAACCAATCCTTAGCCACCCTTAGCCATCCTTAGCCACCCTCAGCCACCAGGCTCCAAACCACCGAGGAGAAACTCATTGGTTTCAAGAGTTTCCCCCTAAATCATGGTAACTTCAAAGACCATTTCTGGATGGGCTGCTGTGAAAGGGAATAATTGGTGGGCAGTCTATACCTCTTTTGTGTGACCTTTTCGGAGTGGTTTGGGAGGGTTTGAAGAGAAGCCAAAAGGAAAACCAACCGGGTGACTCCTCGGATAACCTTCTTTCTCACATACCCATATTCACTGTTGCCCTGTCAAATCTGCTGAATTGGAAGCCGGCTGCCCCTAGGGCTGCTATTCCCCGCTCTCTTTTCATATTTCCTGTTGCATATCAAGGTTGGCTACCCCCCACTGAAAAGAAAAGTGTGGAAATTGCAGGCTCAGGAGACTCCGGGTATGCGTTAGCTGGTGGTGCGAAACCTCAGCTCCAAGAGTGGCGATGGTTTCAAGCTGGAAACCTCCAGTAAATTGGTCGCAACTCTTGAAGAAAAAAAAAAAACTCCAGCTCTACCCCCTGCTTGACGTTTAAAGGCAACCAGCAGGCAAACGACTCTATTTTGGTGGTCCGCCTATTTAACCCGCTACAACCAACCCCTGGTCCCCTTTAAGCGAAACCCAAGGGGAGGATCCGCGTGAGCCTCGCCTGAACGCGGCCAGGCCAAGGCGGATCTGCACTTCGGGGACCTGGAGAACGCTGCGGACATGGCCCGGGGCAGTCGAGTCGAGTCGGGGGTCGGTCGTGTGGCCCCAAAGGGGAACATCTGATATAGACTTGGGATACATTTTACATTTTGCCAGTGAAGCAACCAATAAAGCATACATTCTACAACTGGGCCTAACTCTAATCATGACATGCCAGCGCCAAATGTTCGTTGTTGTTCATGAATTTCTATAGGATTACCCCGAAAGAGGTTATACATGGGTTGTAGGGGGTTAGCCCAAAAAGGTTATACATGGGTTAACAAGTGTTACCCCCCCCCCCAATCACCAAGCCTAAAATGAGGTCCATTTGGGGTAAGTGGGTGGCTGGGACTGGGACCATTTTGCCAATCCACTCGATCGGAAGTGACTCAGTCGGGCAACGGTGAACCGATTCCGCTTGTGAACCGATGTTCGAATTCCTGCCAAGTGTTTTTTGGAGCAACTCTAAGTTCAGACATTCTGAAACAAGTTGACCCGGCCCAACTCTATAGTTTTCAGAGGGTTGATTCATGTTCGAACCTTTTGCTTTGGAGGCGGAGAACCCCATTCAAATCAGCAAAAAGTGACCTGCTTTCCCATGGCCACTGGGCATCTGGCCGAAGTCGATCTCCTACACACCGTTTTCCAAATGGAAGGGGCCGATGGAGCCACTCGAAGCTATCTCGAGGTTTCTCCTAAAATGGTTTGTTTCCTTCGGATTCCCTTCAAATGCCAACCAAAAGGGGTCCAACTTTTGGAGGCCCCCCCCCCCATCTATCTTTGGCCATGGGACCAGTTCTTCGTCATTTACGTGTATGGTGTTTGGCCAAACCTTATCCCCGGTCTGTCGGAAAGGGATGTTCCATTGGAAAGCGCTAGATGAGCCACGTGCTCAAAACCTGGGTAGATGAAGTTTCGTAAGGGCCAATCCCAACCATAAATAGCTTTCCAATGGAACATCCCTTTCTGACAGACCGGGGATAAGGTTTGGCCAAACACCATACACGTAAATGACGAAGAACTGGTCCCATGGCCAAAGATAGATGGGGGGGGGGGCTCCAAAAGGTGGACCCCTTTTGGTTGGCATTTGAAGGGAATCCGAAGGAAACAAACCATTTTAGGAGAAACCTCGAAATAGCTTCGAGTGGCTCCATCGGCCCCTTCCATTTGGAAAACGGTGTGTAGGAGATCGACTTCGGCCAGATGCCCAGTGGCCATGGGAAAGCAGGTCACTTTTTGCTGATTTGAATGGGGTTCTCCGCCTCCAAAGCAAAAGGTTCGAACATGAATCAACCCTCTGAAAACTATAGAGTTCTCCAAGAACACTTGGCAGGAATTCGAACATCGATTCACAAGCGGAATCGGTTCACCGTTGCCCGACTGAGTCACTTCCGATCGAGTGGATTGGCCGGGTCCCAGTCCCAGCCGCCCACTGACCCCAAATGGACCTCATTTTAGGCTTGGTGATTGGGGGGGGGGGGACACTTTTTAACCCATGTATAACCTTTTTGGGCTAACCCCCTACAACTGATTTTGACTCAGATGACTCGATGGGTTTGTGTGCACAAGGGGAACATACGCATTTTGTTTTCTCACAGTGCCTCTGAAGAATAGAACCAATCAGTGGTACCATCGGAAAAGCCACTAGAAACTGGTTGATTCTCAATTCCCCTCCCCATTGAACAATAATATCGACCAGGGGAATGTACAGGCCTAAGAAGGCACAAACACCATGGCTAGATTTAGTTTAGGATCACCTCCCAACCCCGTTGCTAATACAATCCTGACTTGAGATGGATGAACCCCCACAAATAGCCGCCTCAGGACTTTGTCCATTCAAACAAGCCCCCTAGAATGTGTTGTTTTTCTCATTTGGTGTCCTTTCGATTTGACTCCGGCAGGTGCCGCAGCTTTGCAAAAGCCGGGCGCCCAACTGGCAGGGATCTCCGTTTTTTGAATGGGCGGGTCTTACCCTTTAGGTGGTTTTGAAAGGGAAGCCCAAAGGAAAACCACCACTGGGGGTCCCATGTGTCATACCTTCTGAGCAACCGTCAATATGTTCCGTCATTTTCTGTAATCAAGCGGGTGACATCGGGTACACTACCCAAATTGCCATTAGGACATGGAGGTGGTTTTTTTTTTTTAAAAAAAAAAAAAATTCTCAGTGGGGGACACAATGACATATTGACGATGCCTCATGTGTCTCTACGGTTAGCTAATTGCACCAACAAAAAAGCGAGCCAACCACAAGCATAAGATGTGTGTCGGTCGGGGCGAAAGCCGGGGTATTGAGGCTGGTGGACTTGGATCAAGGTGTTTAGGACCCAGCTGCTTGGGTTCCGAATGTAGCTTCCCCCCCTCCAGCAGATCCAGTGAACTTGGACCTACATTTGATCATTGCCTCGGAGTTCTGAATCCTCATACTTTGTAGGGGTCCCAAATCAGATCCATCCTTGAATTGGGGCCCACCTTTGAGGATCACCTTCAAGTTAAGAATCCTCGTTATGGGGGTCCCATTTCGTGGACTTCGACCAAGAGATCCACCTCCCTCATATTCTGCAGGGGTCAACCAGGGGATCCACATCCACCTCCCCCACCCGTGGTGCAGAGAGAGCCATTCGCTCCGCAAGGCGGCGGCTCGCGCTTGGACTTCCGGGACTTTGAGAGTCGCCGGGAGACGCAGACGGGACCCGGGACACCCGGTCTACTGTGGATGGACGAAATATCCATTTCGCACCACGAAACGAAATGATGGTTAAAACCAGAACGTTTGCTGGTATTTGCAGGGGAATCGACTCAAATGGATTTCGTCCATCACCAGTATGCTTACTTTCAGTTTGACCTTGGAACAGAGACAGCAAATTGATGTTTCTCTGTGTGCCTCAGACGTGATCCAAGTTTCCGAGCTTGGTTTTTGTCAACCCACCTGTCAAGAACGGGTTTGGGGCATTGCCAGGGTCCCCTTTGTTGATCCAGGACCATGTTGCTGACAAGCTGTTTGGTTGCATCCTAAACGCACAAAAGTAGAATACAATACCATGATTCTGGGTTGAAAGTCAATCTGCAAGACCCCGCCAGAGGCTAATTAGCGCATTCCCTGGTTTTCTTGGCTGCTTTTTGGCTGCCAAAAGAAACCACATTTAACTTGTTGCTTGAACAAATGTACGGCTTGGCTCCCACAAACAGTGACATTGTTCAGGTTGATGCAGCTCTTCCTGGAGCGTGGCTGGTGTGGTGGTCTTTTGTGACATGTCAAAAGCGTGGATAACAGGCAAGCCACCTCATAGGGTGACCATTGACCATTTTCCAATTGGGCGCGTCCTTGTTTACGGGACCCCCAAAATGGGTGGGTGTCTTCTTTCGTGTCCCTCGAAATCCACACCCATTTGGTGTTTAAAGGGTGTTTCCCTATGGTTTTCTTGGTTACCTACTACCACAGGACATGGAGTCACTGGCGGAAGGAGCCATGTCTCGTTCGGTGGGTGGCCTCGGTGGTGAAAATGATTCCTAGTGTCGCCCCAAAGCAAAATGCTGGCGTCCGTTGTGCTAGTATTCTTGCGCACCTTTCTGGAGTGCGTTCACCCGAAAGACGAATGAGGGCAGCCTGTGTCAGTGCCCCCTGCTGTACTCGCTTTGGCCTATGTTTAGTTTCCCGAAAGAAATCCACGGCCGGGCAATCGCTCGGATTTGTCCACAATTCCCGTAAACAAAAAGTTAAAATTGTCGGGCAGCGCCATCCTCAATCCGCGCGCGCATCCGAGGCTTTGACCCTTGGGTAATGCTGAACCAGTGAGACGCCCCAGACGGATGTGGTGTCCCACCGGTCGACGCAGTGGATTCGGTTTTTGTTTAGAAGGATGTTTTTTCTACGGAACTCCGGTTGCACCATGTTTGGGGTCCCTTTGAAATCATCGACCAAGCCAGGGTGATCGCATTTTGTCCGAACATGCACATTAGATTTGGGACTGGAATGAGGTGCTGGAATTTGCCACTATATACTCATCAAGGCAGAATACATCAGAACAGTTAGAGGTAGGACACCATGCTTACTCTGCTGTTAGTTGGAATCTCTGGGTGTCAAAGTTCATCACATGGTATATGGACACCTCATTGTGTCTGATCACCACGTTTAGAACATCCACAGCACACCGTGAGCGGCTTGTGTTCCATGGATTGCGGCCAGGTTTGCGAAGCTGCCTCGGTTTGTTTATGAAAGGCGGTCTACCCCTCCTATCCCTTCTCTAAAATCAATCTCCAGCAAACATTTCAGGAAGTTAACCCAAACCCCTGTTTTTATTGGAATGATGTGCCCAAGGAGTGCTGCGTCTCGGGCTGCTTGGTGGTGTCTGAGAGAACCGCGGCCATGACACACATATAATATGGATGTTTGACCACGAGTGCTACTGGAATTTGCGGAGCACAAGCAAAATGACAGTCCTCACTGTTCTCGCACCAAGAACATGTCACCACCGACAACCTATGAAGGACAGTCTTCCTTCACGGGGTGGCACTCTGTTGGTATCATGCTGGTGCACGCTTGTGAGAGCCGCTTGAGGAGAAACCCATGCCTGTCCCCCTAACAACACATTGTTAGGAATCCACAAAAGAAGGATTTGGATGTCATTCCAAGTATTTGTTGAGCCACTTTGAGCCGTGTCTCCGCTTGGCCGCCCTCTTGCTTAAGAAAAGGGTTCTAGTCCTCCCAAGGAACGATTGCAGGGTTCCCTCATTCTGCCGAGAAGCTCGAAACTCACTCTAAATTGGCCAAGGTGATCTTTAGAACCAGCAAGGTAAATTTTGGGAACTCGTATGAGGCTGTGACTCCCTTTAAAGCCAAAGCGAGGCCGAGGACTTTAACCCCAGAGCTTCCGTACTGAGGCGGCGGCGAGAGGCCGGATGGGCTCTGGGGCTGCCCTGGGCGAGTTTGGGGTTTCTTTGGGTTGCCGGCCACCCGGTTCCTTAGGTTTTTGGAGATATTTGGTTGGTTTCACTAAACTTAAGCATCAAAGGTTTTCGACTTTTCGGGGGATCCAACAAGAACAGCCAGGTATGTGAGCCCATGAGTTCAAGGGCGGATATTTTTCGTAAGACATTGCAGTGAGACCTCTTTCCCAAGAGGGAAGTGTGGCCGTCCTGGTTTTCACCGGACGGTGTCTTGGTTGATTAAGCCATGTGGGGTGTCCCCCTGTCATATAGCATATGTTGTAGCTAACAAACTAACAACCTATGTGGTAGTTCATGCGGGATGACCATATGCCATGTCATATATATATATATATATGTATGTTCCAATTATGTATGCATGCATAACTAAATAAATAAATAAATATATATATATATATATGTATGTAGATATATTCAATCAACTCGAGCAGTCGAAGAACGATCCGGGTCCCAGACGCCTTGCTGCGGCTCGCGCGCGCTCGAATGGGACGAATCGAGAGGAAGAGGCCCAGAAGCTGAAAGGGATCTTCGTGAGCCGCTGCCTCGGTTCGATCTCAGGACGAGTCAAAGAACGGCATGGCGCAACGGAGTCTTCCAGTTGGTTTCCCTATTAGGAAAACTCACCCCATGAAGAGGGTACGATCAAAGAAAGACACCCACTTTGGAGTGGTTCCCTTGTTCCCCAACAGCTGAAAGCTGCGGGGTCTCTGCCCTAGGCTCTGGCAGCTTTCAGGGAGGGGTTCCGTGGTAGAGGATAGCCACCTGAGCTTATTGAGGCTCGGTGCCCATTTGGATGGGTTAAGAGACACCAAAGCAAACCACCCCCCCCCCCCCCCTTCATTTTCAGGCAACCCTAGTTGGTTTTGGTTTCTACCTCCCCTGCAAACCACCCAAATGGGGGGGGGGGTCCCCTTCAAGGACGAACCACCCAAAAAGTCAACCTGAACCAGGGCTCCTCAAGAGATACATTTTGCCCATTCGAAACATGGCTTTTTCCACCAAAATAAAGGGAAACCGCGCCATTTACAAGGCAATGTTCATGTGTTTTATGTAAGGATCCCCTTGAACCCTGAATTGGGGGTTGGATTGGTTTGGATTTGGATTTCAGCGGGTCCTTGCTTCTTGAGGGCTATTTTGGACACTTTTGACACATCTTACCCATGTGTATGTTTCGGAGTTTGACACCCAGCTCAGGAGGCCCCATGAAGCCAGCGCTATTGTCTTCAGTGATAGGCCACAACTTTCTTCCCCCTTTTGGTTTGGCATGAATTTGGCTAAAGCAAAGGATCGGGCACGGCATCTTTTTTTTCTTCTTTTTTTTTCCGTAGGAAACCACTAAGCCAAACCTCGGAGAATTCGGCAAGAACCCTCCAACAACCTCCAACATACCTTATGAGTCTTGCCAAGCTGCCCATGAAGATTCCTTTTATAAGGCGTCCGCAGTATGCTTGTCAACCAGTATGTTGGAGGCTTCTTTGCAGATTCTGTACGCGACGCCCATCATCGCCCATCTGCGCTCCTGAGGTGCCCGCTTTTCCTGCATGAGCAACTGGGTTTTTGGCGAAGATCACAACCGCGAAAACCCGAGGTTTGCGGTTCTACAAGGCCCTCCTGCTAGCAGTCCTGCCCAAAAACGCCCAGGCGAGATGGAGAAATTCCCCAGGCTCAGGCGACCCACACGCCCATTAAAGTTTTGCATGGTTTAGTCATCCCCCTTTCTTACCCAAAAACAATGGCCTACTTTGTGGTGTACCTTTTGGACCTGGCGTCCCTTTAAAAACAGCATGTAGAGGGTAGTCTTTGAACATTTCACTCCAATGGACCTAGCCCCTTTGTCCAAACATTCCATGGCTGGAAAGAGTGATAATTAGAACCCTGGATCTAAGCAGAACTGGTTGATTTTGATTGGGGCGGGCGTCCCCTTGCCTCAATTTCACCTTTTTTTGAACATGTGGTGGAGCCCGCGGCAGCCCGCTGGTACATTGCAGTTTAAAGGGGGAATCCAGTAACCCGTAGAAGGGGTTTAATCCGTGGTCAACATTGGTGAGTTCTGCCAAGACTTTGCCTTGAAGAGGAGTGTTCGGTGCCTCAATGATCTGGACACGACGTGTTCGGACAATGCAGAGCCTCGTTCATGCCAAACCCCGGGGGGACGCCGGGGAGGGGGGGAGCGAGCAACCCCTTTCGGGAGTTCAGACGACTCTTGGAGGACATCGCCCGACTATTCAAATAGGACGGGTTTCTTAATCTGGGGTCAACAGGAGTTGCTTGGGAAGCATGTGCAGCATGTATCGCTGCGGACAGCCCGGCATGGCGCACGCTTTGCTTCTCACTAGCCGAAGCTACTCGCAGGTGTGTTGCGAAATGTTCTCGCCATAGTGAGTGTGTCCTTTTGCAGGGTGCCCTTTCTGGGGTGCTAAAGGGAAATTACAGGATCACCACGATTTGTTGGGGGCCGGACAAAATAGCGTCCCCATGTTCCAGCAAGCCTTGATCGAAAGGGGGGGTGGAACCCATAGAGAGGGCATCCTCGAGCAGGGTGTTCTCATGCTCACGATCCACGAGGCGTTTGTTCTATCCGGGTTCGACCTCCAGTGCTTCCAGTTGCAACTATAGGAGGGAACGCACCGGGCATTTCCAACTCTATGCACATGATGGTTCCCTTTGTTTTTTGTGTGTGTGTGTTTTTTTTTCCACAAATAAGGGCCGACATTAGGCGATGTTGCCTGTTTGCCAGTTTGGTGTGTGACTGGTGATTTCTGCTCATGGCTGGTGTTAGGGCAACGTTCTGTGCTGCCCAGGGATGCCTTTGAAGCGGTGAAGTAGTCGTGGGAATCCACCCCTAAAGTCAGCTTCGCAGAAGTTGGAAGGTAGCTTCCATGATTGTTACTAGGTCCCCCAGTAGTGCCTTTTTTTTTTTTTTTTTTTTTTTTTTTTCGGGGGAGGGTTCCCCTACTAAAATAGACTACTAACCTCTCTACTTGAGGACCTAGTGTTGGAAGGATATTTCCGCAAGTCAGGTGGTGATGCCGAGCCCTGGCACATCCCTGGAGAGGCGCGCGGAGGGAGAAATCGGGTCGGGGGGTCAGGCGGGAGGAATCGGTTCGCTGGGCTTCCCCATACACAACTCTATGTAAGTATATAACAGTATCTCTTTTAGAACAGTTGTGCAGAAGATAAAAAATACTTGAAGCACTAAAAAGACTATAGCTGTATTTAGGTTCACTAAAACATTTGCCAGAATCAAACTAGCTTTGGTGGCTGGGGCAACATTTGCTGCAACCAAATGCCTTTTGACAATGTTGCTCTAGAGGTCTTCTTTCGACTTATAGTTGTTTTTTTTTGGAGGATACCACACACACACACCCACCCACCCCCAGGGTTGGACAAGCTCCAGAGCAGCCGGGGTCGGCCATTTAAACACCTCTAGATCTGCAGTGTCCCTCTTTTCCTTTTCTTGGAGGGGGAGAACCCCTTCACAGTCACTTAGCCCAAACTGGGGGTGCCGGTTTTTCGCACTGCCACTGGGGGCCGGGCACGGCGCTTGAATTTCCCGATTCCAGGCTGCCCAAAAATTGTTTAAGCCCTAAGAAGCTCAAAGCAACTCGGCAGCAGCACCCGGCTGCACCATGTGGCTGTGTCTTTTTTGTTAACCCCCAAAAAGGGTTGGGAGTTCTTTTCGGTTTCCCCCGCCAGCACTCGCAAAAATAGACACACCCATCTTCAAATCATCTTGGACTTTCAGCAAAACCTTCATAGTTGTTGGCATTTGTTTTGTGTTTGTTTTTCCGGTTCTTTTCGTTGTTGGAAGGCTGCCCAAAAACCAGTCAGATTCTTCCAAGCCCACACCAGGGCTGGAAAGGAAAGCCAAGCAAGCCTGGTCCAAGAGACTAAGGGACCCCTGGACCCCCTAGGCTAAGGGGACAAAAGAGCTCAGGCCTGGCACTGCATGTCCGCAGCTGTGGTGCACCTGTCGGCGCCCAATTCGTGCGCGTACGTCGATCCTGGGATCCTTGAGCTTCAAGATTCACTGAAAATATGGACCGGAACCAAACATGTGATGTTTTTGTTTCTTGAGGTGATGTGGTATGGCCCTAAAATGTGGCTTCACGTCACTCAGGGCCCACCTATGTGTCAAAGCTACGCCGCCTCAGCTTGGTTCTCAATGGGGTCACAAACCTCATACCTTCAGGTGGTTCCCCATCGAATCCGGGGGCAACTGCAAGGACAGCCCAGAAACCATCCCCGTAATGGGAATCGATTTATGTAAGCCAATCCAGCTTTTGATCTTTTGGTTGTCGACTGTTAGTCCATGTTTAGTCATGGCCCGAAAAGGTTTGCCCATTATTTCTGGCTCCTTTGCGCAAGGATTGGGTGGTGCTGGCAGAGCGGTTTCATGTAAAGTTTGTTTGGGAAGGACATCGGGGTCTTAAATTTCCCAAGGGGCTTACTCATTGTTCCATGTCCGGGGTCGGGGACAACACCTAGTCTTGACGATGGTTTGTGCCGGCCACGCAAAGGCCCTAGTTTTGACATTGCTCGGTATCTCATCTCGTGCCTGCGTGGTGTTTGGTTGCGTGAGAGGGATGGAATAGTCAGGGAGTTGGCCACGGTGTTAGTATTTGTTGCGTTGGTTTTTAAAGGAATACTACCGTGGATGGATGAACTCCTGCAACACGCAAGAAACCCTGGAATGATGAGTCTTTTGGAAGTACCAACAAGCAATGGTTTCCCATAGTTTCAAAGTGGTGCAGGATTTCGTCCATCCACAGTATCACTCCTGACACCTGCGATGTTTTCACCTTGGCCATTTGATCAAGGCGCGAGCTCACACATCAACAACATGACAAGCGATTGTTTTTTCCGGTCCCGCGGGGCGGATTCGGGAACTCGCCGAGCGAATCCACCGGATCTGACCTAAAGTTTGCCCCTGGTCAGAAGTTGGGTCAAGGTTCCGAAAGGTGATCAAGTTTGCTTCCAGGTGTTTTGGTCCCAAGGAGAAGTCGGATGAGTGTAGTGCTTGAGGTTCATTGGGTGTGTTGAGAAACGCGGATCACGCTGTTTCACACTTGGTTTGTTGGTTGTATTCATTGTTTGTCTTGTCAGTGACAAGATGAATGGGCGTTTCTCAAAATTCGGGACCCCTCCAGGTAGGTGGTTTCCTCCTGCTTTGTTGAGCCTGTGGAGAGTCTTGTCTTGGTCGATTCGAATGCTTAGGCTCGGCGGTGCATCCTGGCCACAGGACAAAGGCGACGGGCGCGAACGTCGCCTCCGGTTCTCGCTTGCTTTTCGGCGACTTGCAAAGGGGTCCAATGTGAAATGGGCCATGACAGATGACCATTCCATTTTCAGATAATAGCAACTTGAGCAAATGGACATAATATGCGGAGAGCTGGAACTGGGTGTCGTTCCTTGGGGTTCCTGAATGTGTTCCAAATTCCGACTTGCTTAGGGATTTGGGCTCCTTGTGGTTTCCTCGGGGATACTTGAATCGAAGGTCCCACAGTCGCATTGAACCCTAAACCGGTCAGTTCTTCCATTCCCTGTCGACCTCTTGCCGCGTGCATCTTGTTCGGCTCAGCCCGGATCATGTTATCTTTGGTCTGGGGGTTTAGGCAAATGATTGGGAGCCCTGTTACAATGGTTTGCAAAGGGGTTCGGGGGTTGGCTAGTGCTACAATGTATCTTCAAAGCTGTAGCTGAACCTTCACAATGCCCCCAAAACATGCCCTTAAAACATGTTTTTGTTGCAGGAAAATTATGGGGCGCAAACCCGTTTTGTATGACTAGGCAAAACTTTGGGTCCAGGAAAACACTTTTGTGGCTCACTGGCCAAGCCATCATCCAAAGGGCCACATAAAAAGACAGCCAATGGCCTTTGGGGCCCCGGCATTTCCGTAAGGAGCACACGGTTTTGCGTCAACCTTGGAAGATGCCAACATACCCCCTACTCAACATACCCGTTTTTTCAGGGTATTTTTTGGGAAAACCTGGTTTTCCATGGTAAATACCTCCTTTTTGAGTGGAGGGTGGACATGATACCCTGCCAAAAGAGGGTATTGGGAGTAGGGGGGAAGCTAGTGGTTAGATTGGAGCCGGAAGGGAGCTAGGGGCGCACAAATGTTCGAGTTTGCCTTGAGGGAGCCGGACGAAGGGAGCCACCAGGAAGCTGCAAGGACCCTCCAAATTGGCTTCGGGGCTTGACTGAAAACCACTGGCGAGGAGTGATGACGAGCTTTACATCGAACACTTTGTTTCAAGAGACGAGGCCTGAGGACCGCAAGACAATGGAGCAGATCCTCAGTGCACAAGCTACTCTGCAAAGCTCTTGCGCTATGTGGGCGGCTGACTATGCGCCGGAACTCATGGACACGTTGTGTGCTGTCAATGACAAAGGCCTTGGCCGCCCCCAAAACGGCCACCCTGAAAAAAAGACAGACCCACTTGGATTTGCTAAAGCTCATGGCTTCCTTCAACCAAGCTGAAGGGTTTTTTTTGGTGCTTTCTCGCGAGGAAGGGGCTCGGGATGCTTTTCGGCTCAATGAGGCGGTGCGAACTGAGTATGGACTTTAAGGAGTGCTGAAGGGAAGAGTTTTGGTTGGGGGAAAGTTTTGAGGTTTTAGGGTGAGCCTAGGATGAGTGTTGATTCAGGGTGGGCTCGCTCGGGTGCCTGATTCCTTTTTTTCTTGTGACAAGCCCACGTCTGCCAGTGTCAGAACACCCTTTCATTTGAGGTTAGTGGGGATGGCCATGAATCCCTGATAGATTTAGACATCCAGAAAGCAGCCATGGCCCCCAGTTTCCGAGGCTTGATCATGGCATACGCAGACGCCAGCCCCTGGGAAATTCTGCAGGAAGTTAGCCAACGCAAAAGAAACATGTTGCTTTTTGTTTGCAAACTTTGTCGATGTTCCCGGTTTGGATTTTTAGACACGCACCAAGCTTGAGGGCCCTCGCTTTTCTTGCGCGAACTTCCTGTATATGTTTGTGGTTTGCTGGTTTCTCGGGCAAACTCTCGGAGGTGCAGCGAGAGCTGACCCAGCTGCAAGAGAATCGCCCGCCCTTGTGGCAGGCGGGGAAACCCGCAAACGGTGGGCTCTGTGAAAAGCAACGCACGCTCTGATGTGACTGATCCACGGAACCTGATGGAGGGTTCCTGCAGGACTGTGTTCCTCGAAATGTTGACCCAGGATTAATAAACCCCTGTTTATTAATATGGGCATGTCCCTGGTCTTTGTGGGGATTCATCACTTTTTTGGGGGGAGCCCCCCCCGGTCAACATTAAAGAGACGGTTTGGTGGGTGTCCATGCTTATTTGGGAGGGCAAACCTGTTGCAAACAAGTTTGCGATGTGCATTGCCATCGAGGCAACTGCCACACCGGGACAGCTTTTTTGCTCAATTTAATTTACTAGGGGTTGATTGTTCTTTACAAGCAGAAGGGTTCCTGGCAAGAATGGAGCAGCTAACCCTAGATGTTTTGTTTAAACATAAACCACCAGGGGACGGCAGGTTTTAGTCCTTGGTCTAAACGGAACCCAAAAGGCAAACCAGCATCTCACTTGCCCAAATCCGATCTTTTAGTCTCCCTTGGTCCATACGCCAAGGCGACAAAAGGTTAGGCTTCTATCTCCAGGTCCTTTGGGTATCTGAGAGTGTAGGATTCGTCCATCGGAAATGTTCGCCTGGCCACGAAGGAACTTGCAGGTTTTTGAGGGACAAGAAGTCAGTCCGATGCCTTCAATTCCCCGAGCCGATTCGATTCGACGATTGGATTCGATCGAGGCCCTGTTCAAAGTCACCCTGGCACTGGCCCGAGCTGCGCGGGGCCCCGGTTTCGGGAGTCGCCTCTGCGCTGGAATGTGGAGTGCCGGTGGCTTCTGGTTCTTTTGTTGGGGGACATCGCTCTGAAGAATCAACTACCAAAAAGGAAGGCCGGAAAAAAAGAAAGAAAGACATTCGGCAGGTTGACAGTCTGCAAATTCGGTGTACCCTGGCTGGGGTGGAGTCGAGGAATGTTTCCTGAAATGCCGGAGCCCTCCAAATTGACAACGGGTGTTTGCGGCTTCTGTTTCAAATCAACGATCCAGACTGGAAAGGGAGTCACATTTTGGTTTCCCTTTCAAACCAACAAGGTCCTTATAGGATGTTTGTGCAAGTGTCCCATGGTGCTGATGTTGCCACCCCACCTATAGCAGCCAGGTTGTTGTCCTTGCATGGCGCTGTTTTTTTTTTCAGAGCGTTCCATCAATTATCACGGTTGCCACTTGCGATTATTTGATTCTGTGAAAGCTGGTGCTGAACAGGGAGAGCCGCAGCATGGTCGACAGAACGTAAGGCCCACGCCACTGCGCGCATGTCTTCTTTCAAGTGCGCCATGGAGGACAAGCTGCGGTTCGGTAGGGCGAGGGCCGAGGTCGCGCATTGGCTCCCACTGGCATTCCTGCGGATGCCTAGCAAGATGCCCGTATGTGCCCTCTACAGTCGCCCCTCTCTCCCACGGTCGCCCTGCAGCCTTGTGTCTTTGTACTGCAGAAGCTGAGGGTAGCAGTCGCACTGGGTTTGTCACTGCACCTGAATCAGGGTTGCTTGAAGGATACGCCGCTGTAAAAAGATGAGAGTTGGCACAATTCGGTTTGCGTCAGTTAAGGGGATGACTGAACCAAAATAGAGGGACTTGCCCCCATACGTCCCAAAGCCACCTGACTTACAAGGACTCGGATCCTCTGAAGTAGCTGGTAAGGCCTAGTTTGTGTTGCCCTGAGAAAGAAACGCAGGATGCGTGTAAGCCTGGGTGGATGTTATGAATTCACTAGGGTCAGAAGATTTGCTTGAACAGGGCAGGGGCAATGGTGGATTCAACCCATAAAACCGGTAACTGTCGCAACTCCGAATGCTGCAAAACTAGTGAGTGGCACTGCGTTTGCGTGCTGGCTCACAACTATATGATTAAACCCTTGGTACCTGCCCGAAGTATGAGGTGCGTTGTCAAAAATATGGACCTGTTTTGGACCCCTTTTAAAGCCGGGCCCCACATAAAACTACGGCCCCAAAAGGGAGATTTCCATTTCGACAACCCCCCATTTGCTCTTATACAGCCCTTTAACATGTTCACCTTGATTGTTCATTCAATCATTCAGACAAAAGTTCAGGTTTCTTACCTGTTGTCAGCCTTCAAAAGACACTGGGTCAACTGCAGATCTAATACAGAACCGCAATCGAAGCAAACACTAAACGGCCTCCGACGGTCCAACATCGCCCGCGCCAACCTGCGTAGGTTTCATCCTGTTCTGTACTCATTCTCAAATGCAAGAAGCGCACCATTTTTGTTGTGTTTGGGAAACGATTTATAAGGTTGTCTCATTTGGCCTGACATATTCCAGTGTCTCCCAATATATCCCTGTTACAGGGGTTCATCCATGCCAGGATGGATGAAGCCGGTGACTAGTTGAACAACCCACCAGACTGGTGCTCAGTCGCCGAAACCGCGAACCTGACCTTTGATGACCTTTCGGTTTTCCCTGTTTTTGGGGTTTATTTTGGCCGTGGCCCCAAAGTCGACCTTTTAGTTTCCCCTTGGTCCATATATGTCAAGGTCATAAAGGCTTTAGCCTTTGATTTCCAGGCCCATACTGTGCAACTGCGACGGCGGTAGGATTCGTGAATCCTTTTTGGCTCGCGAGGCCATGGCTGCGGCCAACGCCGCGGACAACTTCCGGCGACTTGGCGGTGACTCTGGGCGCCCGGGGGGGGGGGGGTCAGGCAAGCTCTTCTGCACCCATGTTTCGCCATTGCTTCATGGTAAACTATTCATGGCCATGTGACGTTCCCCTTTCCTCCTGACACTCATTCGCTGACCACACAGTCAGGAAACCCAAACCCCCTCCATTTTGAGCAACTCAGGATTTATGTTGCCCTCCTGGTAGTTGTGCAGTTTGAAGCTGTGATACTGTGGATGGACAGAATCCTGCAGCAGTTGGTAGGTGATCTATCCCAATGTGCAGGTGGCTTCATTCATCCCAACTGTTTTTTGTCCATCCACTGTATTGCACCAGCTTTGAGCGAGAAGTTTTAAGGCGGAGAACATCCTTTTGCAAATTATAGCGACCTCAGCGATTGGGGGTTGGCGAGAGCACCATTCAGCGTTTTGCTTCCTTCACTGAGAAGCCTTTGCTGGCTTGGTGCCTTTTCAGAATGGAGGGCCATGTTTTCATGTTCTTTTACCGCGGGGGGGGGGGGTGAGGCCCACTGCCCCAGGTGCCTATCCCAAAAGGGAACTGGCACCCTGTGGTAGTAGAGGTCGTTGATTTGGTCCCTGGATCTATTCCGGAGAGAATCCAATATGCCACTGTGGATGATTGGAGGATGGATTGTCCCTGGTGGATTGTCTTGTGGATAATCCTGTAAGCGGCCTGCTAAGGTTCTTTCTGCTTCACGCGATCATGAATGATGCAATGTTACACAAAAAGGGGCCTTGAGCCAAATGTTGCAGGAGATCAAGTGTTCAGTAAACCAAACACAAAACAGACACAAATTTCTTTTGATCTCCAGCACTAAGTATGAAATACTATTGGCTTCATGGCCTTTGGCCGTAGCATCCCCCCCTCCATATAAATGGAATCGAGGGGGGGACGTAGGTAGTGGAACTCCATTTCCAATTCCCTTTGTTTTTGCCTGTTTCAGAAAACAAGTAGTTGCTTACACTAGCCATCACTAGCCAATTTCTATGTTCGATAACTTCGAGTCAGACTCTAAAATGAAAGCTGTGGCATGCAGCGGGCATCTTGCGGCCAACAATCGGCAACGTCGACCTTTGCAGAACAGTGCTGAGCCAAGACCCGCGCGAGTCCATCCCACACTGTTGCGCAGCAAAGCCCGCTCGAACCAAACGCAATCCAATTGCTCTTTGCTTGCAATCCAAACTGCCATCATGTGCAGCTGCCATGGGCCAGCTGCAGAGCCTGGCTGAAGCTGCAGGAGCCGCTGAGAGCGACGTGATTTTCCACCAAACGCATGGGAAGCGGTCTTCCAAAATCCATGCTGTTTTAATGTTTTTGTACGGCCCTGCAACTCATGCGTGGTTCCAGTTGTTGTTTCTGCAAGCCAAGGGGGGTCACTGTGCATCAAAAAGAGACCAGCCCAAATGGTGGCATCGTGCTTGCAAACGTAGAAGCCCGGAAGTTCCCTGGGGAGTTGTGGGGCAGTGCCCAACGGCAGGTTCCACGTGGCAGGTTTATGCAGCTTCCATGTTTAGCATTTTCCGGGATTCGCGGGGGGTTCCACGTTAACACACATTGAAGACAAACTGCCTGGGAGCTTCCATGTTAAATCATGTTAAATCCTTTTTTCCGTATGCACTTCATGCTTTCTGGGCAGAGCGCAAGGGAGTTGAACGTTTGGTGTGAAGCTTGGCAGACAGGGCCCTCAGGGTTGCTGGGCACGACGAGGCCCTCTTTTGGGCTGATAGCTGAAATTCATAGCATTTGATAGCGAAACCTCCTTTCCCTGACAATCCACCGTCAGACATATTTACATACAAATGAGTCCGTAGCCCTGTGTGCAGACATAGCCCCGACAAACCCCTCCGTATGCCCACAGGCAAACATTAATAGAAGCTGATTTTCCGACAGATAATCCGAAAGAAGGTGCCGCACACCGATTCGCACCCGGCCAACATGGCTGCGTAATGCTCCGCAACGTCTTTTCCGACAACGTCAGCACTTTTAAAGGGAAATTTAGTACCCGTAATGCTCCGTATTGCCTTTTCCTTGGGTGCCCCTGAGACCGCGAGGCGGACACAAGCATTTTCCGACAAAATAGTGGCCCCAAACTGCCCATGTCCAACAACGTATGCCTGTAGAGCAACATTAGATGCGCAGGCACACAGGCCTACATATCCGATTTTGGCATATTTGCACACATGGATTCTCAGGGTTAGCTTGAAGCATCGGCTATCGGCAATGGATGCGAGTGGCTGCGGCCGGGGGCACATCGCAAGCGCCTCTGAAGCGGCGGAGTTGCGGGTGGAGCAGTTGCACCTGAAGCAACGGGACCGAAGCCAACTGGCGCGCTTGGCGAACGCGGCAGCTGGGTCAGTGTCAGAGGTTAGTGTTCGAAAGTGATTTTGACACAAGGTCTTTTTTGTCGTTTTGCGTTGGTTCTGTCGATCCATTTCCATTGGCCTGGCTCGGTGCGCATTCGCAGTGTGATCGTTTTGACTATGTCTATAGCTCATTGGCCCCCAAGAGTAATTTGCGGGACCGTCTTTACTGTGTCCCCCCCACTCCCCCCTTCGAACAGTGGGAACAATCAAAAAGTGGTCAAGGGGGACGTTCTTTAAGCACCTTTGGGTTGGCCAATATTTAGCCAAGTATTGGCAATATTAAATTTAGTATTTGCAGACACACGCCTTTGGGCTGGCCAATGCTTAGCTGCGTATTGGCAATATTAAGTTTAGAATTGCAGACACACACCTTTGGGTTAGCTTAGTATTGCAGACACGCACCTTTGGGCTGGCCAATGCTTGGCCAAGCATTGGCAGTATTAAGTTTAGTCTTGCGGCGCAAACTTTTGGCCTGGCGCCCTTGGAGAGGGACATTACTCACTCCCCACCCACCCCCTTCAACCAGTCGCTCTTAAAGACAGTCAGGGGCTCTTGCGGGGTATCCCCTTACGATGACTGTTTCGGGCTTGGGTTTGGCAAGTCTTATGAAAGGAATGTCGATGGTTGGGGCCTGGGAGATGTTTTGGCAATCAGGGAGTTGAGATTATTATTTTAAAAAGGGGCTTCAGTTTAGGGGGATTGAAAACAAAGGGCTGAGGACTAGGACGTCAATATTTTTCCCACCCTTGGATGGAAGTGGATATTGTCACCGCCCCCTCCCAAAACAGTCACCCTTAAAGACAGTCAGGGGCTCTTGTGGGGTATCCCCTTAGGATGACTGTTTGGGGCTTGGTTTTGGCATGTTTTGGCAAGTTATATGAAAGGAATATTCATGGTTGGGGCCTGGGAGATGTTTGGCAATGTGCTATTTGAGATTCCTGCTTTTAAAAGGGGCTCAAGTTTAGGTGGCTTGAAAACAAAGGGCTGAGTGCTAGGATTTCAGATTTTCCCAGCCCCTGTTTGGAGCTTTTTTTTGGGCTCACCAAACTTGATACTAATCACCCACCCCCAAACCGTGGGAAGGGGGGGGGGAGGCGTTTAAGGGAAAAAGTTGACATTAATCACCTCCATATATAAAAGCGGGTCCCACATTAGGGGGTCTCCACAGGCATCCCAAAAGGTTTGATCTTTTGGGCTAGCGTTGGGCTCGAGAAGGCCCGGTGTTTCTTGGAGTCGGGGCTGAGAAGGATCAGGATTTCTTGTCGGTCTATTGAAAGCTTAGGTCAAAAGGCAGGTGGCTGGTGAGGACACGCTCTGTGTCATCGCAGCCATGAACTTCATGTTCCGCGACTGGGGCACTGGCTGCTCCAGATGCTGCTCCCTTGCTGTGGCCTTCCTTGCAGCCTACATTGTATACCGAGTCGGGGCAGCTCATTTGGTGGCTTGGTGCAGTTTGCTAGCGCAGGCTTCAAAGTGTTCATTTGCCGCAGAACATGTTTTTGTGGAGCTGAAGTCAGATTCATGTCTGCTTCCCGCATTGAGGGCATTCATATCAAGGTAATGTCCACCTAGGATTAAGTCTCCCCCTGTAATCAGACGGTGCGTGTGTGCGTGCGTGCGTGCGTGCGTGCGTGCGTGCGTGCGTGCGTGCGTGTGTGTGTGTGTGTGTGTGTGTGTGTGTGTGTGTGTGTGTGTGTGTGTGTGTGTGTGTGTGTGTGTGTGTGTGTGTGTGTGTGTGTGTGTGTGTGTGTGTGTGTGTGTGTGTGTGTGTGTGTGTGTGTGTGTGTGTGTGTGTGTGTGTGTGTGTGTGTGTGTGTGTGTGTGTGTGTGTGTGTGTTTGTTTGTGTTTGTTTGTTTGTTTGTTTGTTTGTTTGTTTGTTTGTTTGTTTGTTTGTTTGTTTGTTTGTTTGTGTGCGCGTGTCTTTGTGTGTGCGTGTCCGTTTGTTTGTGTGTGCGTGTGTGTGTGTGTTTTGTGCGTGTATTGTCTGTCTGTTTGTTTGTGCGTGTGCCGTGTGCGCATTTGTGCATGTGCGTATTTGCTCGTGTTCGCATGCGCACGTGAGCGATGCACTAATGTCATGCGCACTCCGAAGTGGAGCTGGCCAGAGCCTTTCAGCTCTGTGTATTTTTTGTCTCCTTGTTTGCTTTCATCTATACCTACCCCAGCTATTCCCCAGTTGGATTGGAATTTTGAAACCTGAGGAGCTTTCTTGGGAGGGTGCCTTAAGATGCGTGATGCATATGAAATACTTGTGGTGGCCTGCAGCGATTGGCTTCTTTCTGTCTGTCTTGAGAGTGACCAAAGGTTCGCCGACATGGATATCTTCATCGCATCTATCAGACCAGCAACCCGTTCTTGCGGATCGGGCCATCTGCGCGTGCATTTACTGTGACGATGGCTTTGCGGGGATGCTTTTTACATTCAGAATCAAAGCGTCCCTTGTCTGAAGGGTTTTGTGTAAGCTGTTGAACCTGCAGTCTTTTGTTTGCATTTGTGTATTGCTCGAAATTGTTTTGTGTTGATCAAGAGCACTCATTTCTTCTTCACAATTTGGCACATGGAGGCAAAGACAAAATGACGATGCGGCTTCGCCGGCTGATGCAGTCGACAGGCT